TATTCAGTCAGATATAAGATACTGAAAAAGAATAAGTTTGTTACATGTCCCTTATCTGAAACATGTAAATTTTAAATACATGTAATAATATTTCATTCTGTGGCCTTATTTCTAAAGATGTATTTTTGTGCCATTTAGCCAAACAAACACTATGCATCATGTGTCAACTGTTTTCAGCTTGTTTCAGCCATCTCTTTGAACAATCATGTCATTTCCACTCGGTCATCACTTACTATGGCATTTTTGCATCATGTATTTCAACAGTGTTATTGTTTGTCTTGTAATTGTTTTGGGACAGAAGTTTCCTGGCTGTATAAGAATCAAAATCTCAGAACCAGTGTCTGTCTCCCCATAGTAATTTGTATTCATCTATTGAAGCAAATAATGACCACTCTTTGACTCTTGTACGTCTTGTCCATGTTTATGAAGTTGATATTTGTACTTTTCACACGTCAGGGCTGAAGAATTGAGGTCTGTTGTCTCCATGAAAGATTTGTTAGTGTTGGATGGTTGTTGGTGACTCACCGACTCTGACTGTGTGCTCAAGCTGTCAACCACTGTATTGTCTTGTGTTAACATGGTTCTGTACCATATGTCATGATAGTGCTGCAAGTCTGCTGACTGTGCTCCCAATTCACTAGAAGACACGAGAATCAGCACATGCTCACCATGTGTTATTATAAGCAAGAAGTCTTGCAAGGAAAGATTACATTTGTAAATGAACAACCTTGAGACAATTTGGCAGTACATAGTATTACTGCACTGACTGCTTGTTTGGAACATTGTGTGTTGCTTGCTCACATTCTAGCCTCATTTCAAACAGGGTCTCTTTACTGGTTGTGTGTGTTGATGTACCATCTGTATCATTATTCTGGAACAGTAGTACTAATCATGGTGCTTTTGTTGTGATGGGGATCAGATCTATAGCTGTTTTGATGTTTTTATTGAAATAAATATCTTTGTTGAAATCGCTGTTCTCTGTCATCATTAAGCAACCATCACATGCGGGTTGTCATTTGGGAGGGTGCGAGTTTTTGTGAGTTTACTTCAAAACCTCTTTGAACAATATTTCCTTCAAATCATGTGATAGGAAATCCCAAACTCATGCAAGTTTTGTTGAACCAATGACAGCAGTCAGTGTGGATCTGGCATTCCAGACTCACAACCAGCAAACCCTTGAAGATCCTGGTTAGAATTAGTCTGGTGGGATCGGGTGGTCAGACTCGCTGACTTGGTCGACACCTGTCATTGTATCCCAATTGCCTAGATTGATACTCATGATGTTTATCACTGGATTGTCTGGTCCAGACTTGATTATTAACAGACCGCTGCCATATAGCTGGAATATTGTTAAGTGTGGTGTTAAACGACATCAGCAATGAGGCACAATGAGACCTCGTTGGTAATCTATTAAAAAATCCATGGGACACAAAAACAGGAAAACAGCCTTAGCACAAAAATAATTTTATACATAAAATGTTACAAAATGGTTTCCCCTTCAAACAGCAACTACAGAGCCCTGTTATCAGGTTTTCAGGGTCATTAGAAGTCTCAACCGAGTAGTGATAATTTTATGATTCTGACACAGCATATCAAACCCAACATGGCTGCTCAACCAGGAACTTCTTTTAACAATAGGCAGGGAACAGAATGTTATTTATGATTAACACTTTCCTGAACAGATTAATGACATCTCCTATATGTGTGTTGCCTTACCCTGATTGCAAGTGTGGCCATAAAGTTTTATGATTACCATAATCTAGTTCGATATCTACTCCTCAATGTAAGGCTACAAGTAACTAATCTTTTCATGTTCATGATACTGTGGATTCTGACTAAATATCCCCTGATTAAAATATAGACAATAGGAATTAAAAACTGGATCGGAATATATTTCATTTATCAGAGTATTGTATGATTCTCACTTTACAGAAAAGATTAACTGCATTTTGTTATGTCCTGTAAGTGAGTGAGTGAGTGAGTGATTTTAGTTTTACGCTGAATTCAGCAATATTCCAGCTACATGGCAGCAGTCTGTAAATAATCAAGTCTGGACTAGACAATCCAGTGATCAGCAGCAATCTGAACTGGGAAATGATGACATGTGTCAACCAAGTCAGCAAGCCTGACCAGCCGATCTCGTTAATCGCCCCATATGACAAGCATGGGTTACCGAAGATCAATATTCTGACCCGGACCTTCACGGGTCTTATGTCCCATAAAGGCAAAGAGCCAATAATAATATTTTTTGTTTATTTCTAGTTGGTAACTATTTGGTACAGCTGGTTAAACCCCAAACCAAAATAAAACCGTGTGCCCTTACCCCCTGCTGTGTCCCTGGTCAAGACCCATGAGCAGCTTGGTTGCCTCCCTCATAGGTTTGATATGCTGTGCAATGTCACATGGAATGTTTATCACGGACCTCCTGAGAAACTAAAGAGCTTCATACAGTAACCATCTGATCCACAAGGACTTGAATCACTGCAGTGTCTTAAACAATTCCCATGCACTTCACAGAGCACCAGGTGGAACATGTTTAAAGTGTACTCCAAGCTCCCGTCATCTGACCTCAACCTGTTTAAGTTTTTGTCTAACAACTTCCCATCTAACCATTAGCCTTTAGGATAGTTTTGGACATTTTAACAAACAAAATAAGCTGGCAACAGAAAGAATACATCTAACCTCTTACTTCTCAAATGATTAAATGAGCCCGTGAACTTCGTGAGCACGTGAGTCAGTTTCTTGCTTCCATGGAACTGTCCCATCAATGTCTTTATTGACTGACAGCTTGAGACCAAGCTTACTCGTACACATCTTTCCGCATAGGACCAATTCCCTGAACCCAAGTCCATTAGGCACGAACACTCCACTGAAGATCAATTCATTTGAGGTTCACCTGCACAGATATCCTACATTAAGAGAAAGATAGCAATTGATGTTGCATTTGCTGATGAAGAAAGTTCTCCGTCAATAGCCCTTTACAATTATACCTGACAGAAGTGAGTGGGACTATACACACAGACGACACAGGGTCAGAATATTAAACATCAACGGCTGAGAAGTACACAAAATAACAGACGCTGAAGACGTGCCCACTGAACAGAATGGAAGCAAGGTATCTGCTTCTGTGTCTGCTTCTAACAAAACAAAAATATGGAGCAAGAAATGACACTACAGACGGCTAACCTCTTGCAGTGGGGTTCCACTAATACCAATAAACAAGATAACATAAAGAGAGCAGTCGGGGTAACACAGTAAAGACTTCAGTCGACTGCAATAATATTCAGATATGATTACGGGTACCTGATTCTTGTCAGTAATCAGTAAAACATGAGCAGTCATGTGATCATTATCTTTAGTTCCAAGCAACACAGTACAATTTTGATCTCAGGATACAACATCCTACAAGTATCATCCCTGGATCCTTGGGAAGACTTTAAGTACAACAATAGCCAGAGCTCCTTGCAGGTTTAAAGCATTACTATGTAGTACATATATTGTGAAAATAATGTTTATAAATTCCTTACAAACGAACACAAGCTTTAACTTGTTTCCAATCATTTTCTAAAAATACAAATTATATCTTAAATATTGAATACGAAGGGAATGTTGTGTTTGTAAAAATTGACCTTGAGACACTTTTCATAAATATTGACCAGTATAAATTACCGTGACAATAGGAGTAACTTTCTCTCTTTCGATAAAAGATGATGACTATTTGCTTCTGATGAGTAACACACTGATAAAACAGGGACATAATGTACAGTACATGTACATTTAAAAGAACATTTTGTTTCTACTTCCCCCATGCACTGTAAGCAAAATCATATATCTGCAAAATGTGATCCACCACAAAAACTGATTTTCTGCACAAGCTGTGATTTCCTACAAATAAAAGTAATGAAATGACTATCGCATTTCCTTTGGGTGTTGTATGAGACACTTGTCTCCTTTCAGAGAAATAATCATCGTCGATAATCTCCAGGGTATAAGTTAAGGTAAATCTCCACTAGTCCACTCAATAATTTTATTACCTCCCTATGCTGGCTCCACATACTCACAGTAGCCAATCAGCTAAGCCGCCATTACAACCGAGCTTGCCAGTGTCAACAAAGATAGTGGTTGCAGCCACGAAAGTTTGTTCGCAGTACCACTCAGATTTTGGGGGAAATCATACAGATAAATTGACAGGTCTGAAACCTTAAAAATATATACAAGAACTCTTTCTACCTCTTTTAGAGTACCTCTGCAACAATTATGTTGCCAAGTTTAATTGGTTAGATAACAGAAGCGAAAGTGAGCTGTGATTGGTACGCTCAACTTCCCAGCGTATACACCTGATTGGATAAAAAGCCAGCCAAGGAAGGTAATATAATCATGGGGCTGAGCCATAGATGCATCCAGGGTATAGTGGAGATTTCTACATGTTCAACATTGTTGTCTAACTAAATCACTCAAGAGCTCTTTTCATCAGTGAGCTATGAGAATTATCATATACAACTGAATATATCAAGCTCGTACACCTGAGATAGTTGTGGAAATAAACTACAGCATCCAGGCTCATTCTTAACCAATATCAACAATGATCTCAATATCGCCTTGTCAAATTGTTGCTTGCTTTTCCCAAAGTGATCATACACACTGATGTCTCCTTCAAACATCTACCGAAGCTGTGTCCCTCGTGATCAATCAATGAAATGTTTTTTTGCATTTACAGGGAAATAAAAAGTCAATATGTACACGCTAGCTGCTTTCTCCAATGCATGATAAATCCAACACATATCAATTTACATTCACATCAGAAAATATTGAGAGGATTTCCAATGGTTAGTAAATAGTTACAACACTGATATAAGACAGGATGACTGGACACAAGAACACCTCACACACAGCAACACCAGCATCCTTGACCAATACTGCCCACAGACAAAAATATCTTTCCACACAATGATAGAGCAGTTATGAATTCTTTGTGGGGGCAGCATTGTGTATTTATTCCCTGGGATCACTGGCTGAAATTATAAGCCGAGTTTCTGCTGTGTGATGTATATATTTATGTAGAGCAGAGCGCTGTGGCATCACTTCCCACCCATCCCCACGACAGGGGATCCGCTGAAATATAACTGCAACTGAAAGTGGCAATATTCTCTCAACTCACTCTCTCAACAACTTAATGCATTGTCAGCCGTGTGTTCATGACAAAAACTGTTGCTAAATTCAGAGAGAGATGGTAACAGCTGAGAGAGAAAAATTATATTTCGCTTCACATCAACTTCCTAAATTGCCTAAACAGCCAGAGTCCTGTTGATTTATTTCACAGCTGAACCATTCACAGATTACATAAAATAATATTCCTTTACATGATCACTTCACAATTTTCCAATGAGAAAAGTGGAACTGTGAACATGGAGAAGTTATTTTCAACTCTCCATTCAGAAACTGTGCTGTGTAAGAAAGTACATATATATATTAAAAAATCTCCAAAACAGGGTACTTGTTTCCTTGAACCTAACTCAAATGTTTCAATAGCGTTTACGACCTTCTTACATCATATTCATGAAAGTAGTGTACTACTGGATTGTGTCTGTTGTCTGTTGAAACATTCAGCTAAGATGAGAAGAAAGGATCATCATGTGATATATTTGATTTGAAATGTCAGAAATATCTTAAGGCTTAGAAGTGAAACAATCAGTTTTCAGGTAGCTAATATAAAATTTTAGGGGGAAACATTTTTCTTTTATGTCTGAGTGAAAAGTGAGTGACGGTCACTTTTTGGAGGATTTTTTTTGCTAAAAACAAATAAAATCTTGTCATGAACAGTCCTACTCATGCAGACAAAGCTTGAGACTAATATTTCATAGTTTACATTAATCCCAACCAACATATTCCCGGAGACACCGCCAGAACACTGCTTCAAGATGACAGTGATGAAGCAGTTATATACACAAAGTGTGGAGACCATATGGTTTAAACAATGGTATGTACAGTCCTGCCTGGAGACTGTCCTTCAAACAGTGCTATATATACACTTGTTCACTGGCCAGTTTGTCCATAAATGGCTTGACGAGTGCCCGTGTGGCAAAGTTGAACACAAGTCCAAATGTGATGGAAATCGGCAGAGCAGGAAGAGCCTTGCGAAATATAGCCAACAGCAACAGCGTGAAACACAAGCCCTAGGAAGAAACAAACAGCAATAATTAGCTTGGTATCATATTTGCCATGAACATATACATATACTGAACAAAACATACCCATCTTTAATAATTCTGGGGACGTCTTAATGAAATTGTGTGCTCAGTCTTCAGTCAGTGTATAAAATAGTTTTGAAATGTGGCCTGTCTGAGGACTGACTATCCAAAAATGGTAAGTCCTGAACAAACACAGCCAGTCCCAAAACCTTAAACAATTAAAAATCAACAAACACAAACCAAGTAAATTGTTTTGGGTTTTTTCCAATATTTCCCATGACCAAAGGCCGACCTTACCTATTTCATACACCATCCTTCACAAACATAGACCATCAAGGACGGTGAAACGGGCTATATTTTACAAACTGCTTCAGTACCAAAAAATATTCCCAAAGTATCCTAATCCCTAACTTTTTCCATTTACTCAATGTTTGATAGAAATGTTCACCAATTATTACACACTGCAGAGCAACCATAGTGTACTGACTGTCATAAGACTATGTTGAAGTATAGGAGAAATAATCAGCTATTATCACTGATTACGTATCAAAATGTAATTTTCTGACTAAAATTGATATTTTATACTTATGCTAAATGCTTGTCTCCTTCTTCTTGCGAATGATAGTGGAACATTTGAAATCCCTTTAAGTTCCCTTCTAAAAGCGGACGTATAATCATCACTCACCCACGAGTAGTCTCCCTTGCCTCCTTTGGCGCCCTTTTGGTCACATGACCAGCCATGTTTGTCACTCTCTCCATATGTATGCCCGACACCAGGATTTACAGGGAAATCCAAAGTGCCATAAGAGGGGAGGTTGGGAAGGCTGACCTCATGAGTCAGGACAAGTATAAAATATCAATTTTAGTCAGAAAATTACATATTTTTCCTTATCCTGCCTCATGCTAAATGCTTGCAGAATCCGTCGGAATCGGTGGTGGGTCAGGCCACTTCTGGATTCTCTGGCTGTTGATTTACATCCTGTATTACTCCCCATGGGAACTTATGACGGCACTGCTGATGATTCTGTTCTTTCAACTTCCTCTGATGAGTCTGGGGGTAACCACAACTTGTCAGATTTCTTCCGAAACTTCTCCTGACATTTTCGTGTGGATTTTTAGATATACTAATGTTCCATTAGTTATCTATTGCAACTCCATCTCTTGATGCGCACATCAAGTGGAGATGCGACCCTTCTTCATGTACGAGTAAGTCCTATACAAGTACAGGGTCTATCACTCATGCTAGTCTGTCCTAGACGTGTGCATGGACTTTAACCATTTGCTCTCCAGAGCGTTGGTTTTCACAAGTCACATGATAAATGGGTGAGATTTTTCTCATCGCCTTTGTGGAACCGTTAGTTGTTGTGCTACAACAAGTGGCCCAAACTGGTGAATGCCTGAGACGTCTTCAGTGGCAATGTCTCTGAGGTAGTGGTTGGCAAACACCATGTCCGATTTCCAAAAGCAGCCCTCCATTATTGTTGTAATCGGGCAGTTTCCATGCAGAGCAAGTGTAGACGCCAGGGCTCTGAATTCGTGGGGATTGGAGGCTCGTGGAGGCTCAAGTCCTGCTGCTTTGTAGGCCCTTAGTATAACGGCTCTCATCCATATCGATATCGTTGTCCGTGAGACTTCCATGGGCATCTCAGTAGATAAGGGGATGAATAGGCGCTTGAATTTTCGTCTCCTTGTTTTTGTCCTTTGTAGGTAGACTTTTAGTGCTCTGACAGGGCATAAGGATAGATCCTGTGTATCCTGTGGCCCAAGGACTGTAGAGAGTGCTGGGATGTGGAACTGTCTGTCAGGCTTAGATGGCCGAGCAGTTGGCAGATGTAAAGTCCCATCAGTCTTCGATGTCACGATGTCTTGATTCAAATCGCGTGTTCGCTCAAAGTCCAGAGCATGTATTTCTGACATCCGTGCTGCTGTTGCTAGGGCGATCAGGAACAGCGTTTTCTGTGTCAGTAGTTCAAAGGATGTCCGTTCTAGAGGTTCGTAGGCATCACTGGTGAGATGTTGTAGAACTACGTTGAGATCCTAGGCAGGAGCCTTGAATTTTCTTTTGTTGGTCTTCCAACTTGAATGAGCGTAGTAGTGCCAGTATCTCTGGTACTTTGGTCAGCTGGACACCCGTCTTCATGGTGATAACTGTGCTGAGAGCATCAGTGTTGGAACGCTGAGAGTGTTGAACCTTTTAAGTGTCTCGTTGCCGTCGCATACTGTTCAAAGCTCTGCGAGTTGATCTGTGTAGAGCTAGTGTCACTGCTTTCGCTGCTCTGGCGGAGTACCCTCTAGTCTTCAGGCAAGCTTTGATACGCTCCACGCGTGTAGCTGGAACAATGCTGGATTCCCGTGAGCTTGCTTGGTGTGTGGATGGACGAGCAGGTTCGACCACTCTGGTAGTTTCAGGGTTGGACTTCCGAGTTCTTGTATGAGGATGGGAAACCATACCCTCGCTGGCCAATAGGGTGCGACCAAAATCAGTTGCAACGTTGTCGTCTGCTTGATTTTCTGTATTACTTGTGGTAATAGTGCTGGAGGTGGAAACGTGTAAGCGTTTAGTCCTTCCCATGAGATGCTTAAAGCATCTGTTGCCCATGCCTGAGGATCCGGAATCGGTGGGACGAATGTTGGTAGTTGTTTGCTGAACTTTGTTGAAAAAACAGGTCTATCAGCAGAGATCCTACTGTCTGTATGACGAACCGGAACACTTCTGGATGTAACATCCATTCCGTCAGGGATGGTTGTAGTGGACGAGATAGGGTGTCTGCTATGACATTCTTTGCTCCTGGAATGTGACATGCCTTCATGTAGATGTTCAGGTCATCGACGATGCTGAACAGGAGAAAGCTGAGTTTTAAGCAGACTTGTTGACCTTGTTGATCCTTGTTTGTTGATGTAGAACGCTACTGTGGAGTTGTCCGTGTGGACGTGAGCCTTGCGTTCCTTAGTATGCTGGAACAGTGTTGTAAAGCATTGATCACTGCTTTCATCTCCAACAGGTTGATGTGCAGAATTTGATCCTGACTCGACCACTTTCCTGCTGCCACTTCGTTGTCGAGGTGAGCACCCCATCCTTGTAGTGATGCATCCACGTAGAGATGAGTGTTGCAAGCCGGCTCTGACAAAAAGGTTCCTCCGCAAACATTCGACTTCTGAGTCCACCATAGGAGTTAAGGTTTCAGGCTGTCCGGTAATATCAGTGGATCCAAACTGTCAAGATGGGCGTTCACAAATATTGTAGTGGCCTCAGCAGTAATCTTCCTCTGCGAGTCTGTCTTGAGCTGAGGTGAGTAGACCAAGCATGCTTTGCCAAGCACGTAGTGTCAACGGAGAGAGCATTGCTTGAGATATCATATGTTGTATCTTGACCCAACGATCCTCTGGGACGACCGAGTGATTCTGTGGTGTGATGAGCCATATTCCCAGAAATTGAAGATCCTGTTTTGGTTCCAACTCCGATTAGGAGATTACTAGCCATCTACTGCAATCATGTCCTACGTTGTAGGTACGTGGATCTAGGAGCCCTTGCCATGTCCGTCATGGAAGGAGAGATGATCAATTCTGGAATCATGGCTTGAAACTTGTCTCATCAATCTTCCGGTAATATGTAATGAAGATGCTGCACCAGAATCCGAACAATGTGCAGCGATGATGCATAATACGTCGTCTCTAGATCAGCAAAAATCTATGATGTACTGGGACTGCCATCGATGTGAAGTCTATTTATAGTTGATCAACCGTCTCACGCTTGTCACTGCAAGTCCCCAGATAACCAATATTAAATTTGCTGACAGGGGAAGTCCTCTATGACCCGTGAAGATAGTCAAACCACGCTGTACCCTGCTAACTGGACTGTAAATGGAGCCTTTCCCACGTTGAAAGAGTTGTTTACAACTGTAGACAACTTCCTGGCACGTGACTGTGACGTCACCAGTGTTGCAGGTAAATGATCCTCGTAGAATCTTGTGCAGTCGTTGATTTCTTCGTCAACACTCGGCCTTGTCCGTAACCTCTCTGTTCGGCTTGTGCCGGAGTTACACGAGTGAACACGTGTCTTGATGGATGAGTGGAAGCACGCGAAAACTTCGCCACGTAGTACCAATGTAAGCAGACTGTTCCCTGTCTGTTGTGACTGTATTCTTCAACTTTATAATCTTTACTGCAGTCGTCATCTTATACAGACGTTCTGTAAAGTTGACCGTAACCGATGTCTCGCTGAGGAACTGCAACAATGCTGCTAACTGTCCCCATGAAATCTTGTAAGCCCATGTGATGAAACTTTATCTTCAGTGTTTCATCGGATGTTATCTGACATCATTACTTCAGGTGTGCGTCTCTTCCTTCAGCCACGCGTTGATCCAACACAGCCAACATCTATTTGTAGTGTCAAGTTGCGTTATCTTCTTATCTTCCATCTTGAAGATCTATTACGGGATTCACTGATGATCTTGTAATCTCAAACCCTGATGTTTCATGAAGGGCTCCGTATGATGAAGGGGAAATCTGCTATTGTTGAACGGTGGGACATGCTGACTCTGATTATAATCCTCCCCATGAGTGCCTGCGCGCAGGTTGATGAAGGTCCAAGTTGGAAGATCCGTATCTGCGCAGTTTGTAGAATCCTGGAGAACGACTGGATCTACTTCTGTGTTAGAATCCTTCCTGCTGAGATGCTGAAGCTGCGTGGAGGCTCCATCGTGGACTGCTAACGCTAAGCTGGCGTTCGTTGAATCCTCCAGGCTTCTAACTGCTGATACTTTTGACAGTAAAGATCTTCGTGAAGGCCTTCATTCGAGAGAGCTTGTATAGCTAATATTCCTTCGCGCAGGGCGACTGTCATCTGAGGGGTCTGCTATGCTGAGCTGACGTTAGTAGAGTTCTCCAGACTTCTAACTTCAGACGGTGAAGTTGGACATTTCCCTATCTGAAGATCCATAATGACGTGAATCTCTGTATGTAGATCTGTATGTAGAGCTGCGTGCAGGTGAACGGTCTCGGTGTGACCGTGTATTCCTCCTGGAGTCTTGAGACATCTCTCTAAGCCTTCACGAAGGCTGATTGACGTAATCTCCCCTCTGTGAGATGTGGAGTGCCTGCGCGCAGGTTCCCGATGTGAGTCTAAGTCCGACGGTGCTGACGATCCATATCTGCGGTGTCTGTAGGGTTCTGGAGAATGCTTCAATCTGCTTCTGTGTGGAGAATATTAGAGGCTCCTTCGGGGACATCTAAGGCTGAGCTGACGTTGGTAGCATTGTCCAGACTTCTAGCTTCAGTCGTTGAAGATTGTCAGGTGTGTGGCCTTTGCACAGGCTTTCCTCTTCATCCAGGTGTGTTGGAGAGGCTGCTGAATCTTCACGCAGGCTTGTACTCGTCGTAGTGGTCTTCGTAGCAGCTTCCTCCTGCGTGAAGCGACATTCCATTATCAACATCATCTGATCTGTAAACTGTTGCATAAACAGCCCCCGGGTTGAAGTTCTGCGACGTATGTTGAGACTGCTGCAGGGTTGATGATGCTTCTGAGAACGTTGAGGCCTCTTCTAAGGTACGCTGCACTTGTGAAGAGTTGACGCTGCTGCTATCTCTGGTACCCGATGTCTGCGTTGATAGAAGGTCTTCTGTCAATGTCTGCGCTGATATAGTTGCCGATGTAGCTGTTGAAGCAGGCTTCGTCTTCTTGGTGACGACTGTGACTTCAGGTATGATGATGGGGGGATCATCATACACATCTGCTTCTTCCGGAGGTACAATATCGGCAGTGAAGGATCTTGTCTTCTGAGTAGAGCTGTGAAGAGACTTTGACAAAGTCTTAGGAGCTGTAGACTTCTTCTTCTGCGCTGAAGAAGATCTCGTCTTCTTCGTCTGCAATGAGGACAGCTCTGTTGACGACGATCTCTACTTAATCGAGACGGAGTTCATCACTGGAACAGCGACCTGCCCTCATAAACCGCTCGGCAATTCATTGGAATTTTGAACCTCGGCATCAGTAATTAACACACGATTATCCGTATAATCACTCGATTTACCAGACATGACTTGTGAATACCTTCTTACCCAGTCCTTTGCACGTCTATGAAGAGCAAAAAGGTAGTTATTAAATTCAAAAGTAGTTTGACAATGTTTACAGCGAATGCTGGAAGAACATGTAGTAGTGCAATCAGGACATAATATATGCGGGTCAGCCACAGACAGCTGGTACCTACAACGAATACAAGTTTTCATCAATTGTAAACCAGATGAAAAACATGGCAAACAACGTATAAATTAGACATAATATCAAAACATTTGCTAATATACAATCCAAAAACCATATACAGCTGCCATTTAGATGTAAAAGGTCCAAAATAGAAAAGATTATGTGTCGTATAGGGACCCAGGTGCTCTCACAACTGTCCTCAAGGGCGAAGAAGGAGAGAGTGACAAACATGGCTGGTCATGTGACCATAAAGGGCGCCAAAGGGGGCAAGGGTGACTACTCATGGGTGAGTGATGATTATACGTCCTGCTTTTTAGAAGGGAACTTCAAGAGATTTCAAGTGTTCCACTATTATTCCCAAGAAGAAGGAGATAAGCATTAAGCATGGGTCAGGATAAGGAAAAATTTCATGTTGCTGGCCTGCAAATGTTTTACTGAGTCAGTAACAAAACATAACGTAGTATTTTACCCTTGTTTGTTGTTTTACATGGCTGATGTAGAACAATGGCCTGTAAATAATTCAAACTGGACTAGACAAACCGAGGTTGATATCATGAGCAACAAGCCACATCTTCAACGTACAACATGTACGACGACAATAAACAATAAGTCACTAAGGTAACCTTAGTGCAATGTTGAAGAATCGGAGTTAAGGTTAACCTTAGTAAAGGTTGCTTTGTAAAAAGCGATCTTAGCAGTAAAGTGACCATAACACCCATACCTTAACATAGGCTTAAGGTAGTCTTAGCGCTAAGGTTGTTTTGTACAACGGCACCCAAGTCAATTACATCACTCCATACAACATGGATATAACTGCTGGGGACAAATGAAATGATTATTGGGAGATTTCACACATGTTTGACACATGTATTGCTTTTGAAATTTGGAATAAATTTCTAAATGAACTGTTTAATTTTGTAAAACCCTTATTTGTGAAGAATTGTGGTAGTTCTGTGCGCAACTTACAATGAGTATTGCTACAAAGCAGGCAAGTGTAGTGTTCCAGTCTCCATAGGAGGAAGCTTTCCCAACCAGGACACCATAGAAGATGAAGTCTCCCAGTCCGAGTTTCACGCCCCCTAAACACAGAACAGAAGGCACCATTATTCACTCTACCATGACTATTTACACCAAACATAACATTACTAATCATATTACCATTTATATTACCAGAAATCAATGTCATTATATGACGGGTAGATTTCCGCCCTTCTGATTGGCCCACTTGGTCACATGACAGCTTTGACGCCAAGCGATGTCAACCTCGCCACTCCGTGAGAGATTGATATACAAACTAGGCACATCGCGAGAGGTTGATATAACAATCCAAGCACCTCCAGTGGCTAAAAATAGATTTGGGATATTCCAGCTGTGAACTCCGCACTGCGTGTGTCACGCTAGATAAGGAAGCATATGTATCAAAATGGCAGATGACACGACACAACGAAGAATCATGACTGTATCGGAAGAGCTGTAAGCCTATTCCAGCTCTCCTATGAGTCTCTCATAAGTCAAAGAAGAACAGGTACTCAGTACTTTTATCATATAATAAAACTGATTTATCGACCTTGGACATGGGATATTCACTGAGGCGACGAGAAGTCAATAATTGTATAATGTCGACTAGACGATCAACTAGAAGTCAATAATTGTATAATGTCGACGAGACGATCGACTAGAAGTCAATAATTGTATAATGTCAACTAGACGATCGACTAGAAGTCAATAATTGTATAATGTTGACTAGACGATCAACTGTCAATAATTGTATAATGTCGACTAGGCGATCGACTAGAAGTCAATAATTGTATAATGTCGATGATGATCACAAACAGCATTCACTCAATAGCTATCATATGCTTTCGTTCATTGAAGTTTACATTTCAATGTCTGATTATCTCCAACATGTTTAGGGGCGTTGGGGTAGCCTAGTGGTTAAAGCGTCACACCAAAGCCTCAGGTTCGATTCTCCACATGGGTACAATGTGTGAAGCCCATTTCTGGTGTGCCCGCCAGTATATTGCTGGAATATTGCTAAAAGGGGCGTAAAACTAAACTCACTCACTCCAACATGTGTAATCACCATGACAAGAACTGGGATTTATAACATTTGTCGTTCAGATGCCACTAGGAGATTGATATTTCGTAATATTTACTCAATCTGCAAGAATGGGAAGACAATCACTTAAGCAGAGGTAAGACTAAGTTGGGAAGTGGGGTGGTTTTATACTCATATCTTAGTACTAGGGCCACCAGGGCAACAGCGCTGACGGCGTGGATAGGGGGCGCTATTTACTTCCACATTCCCAACATAAGAACAATTTTTCCTGAAGATCAACCTACTTTCTTCTTCTTCTTGAGCTGCTTGTTGCTGCTGTTGCCGTGCACTCCCAGTCATTGCTCTGTCATCAACAGGTCCGTTGCGACCTTCCGATCGGACCTCACCAAAGTTGACCACAGCTGACCGAGCACGCTCTGTCTCTCCACTGGAGGATAGCTGTCGTCGAGGTGTGTATATATGCTCCCGGAATCCACCCTCTTCAGAATCTGATGGGATTTCATTTGTAGCACCTGTGTCTGTAGAAATTGTGGTTCTCTCTGTAAGGAAGCAATTCAACAACATTAATCATGTTCAAAAGGTTCAAAGAGGTTCTTGATGCGCTGAAGGACAGAAACTTGTACCTTCCCCGAATGCTGGTCATATGTTTGGGTGACCCTCCGCCTATAAATGTACGTTTTATGAATATACTATGTGGGTCACAGGCCTAACAGGGCATCTACAGCTATCAACATTATTCATGATTCTTATAACAAATGTATTATCTTTCAAGAGCACATGCATGTGCCAGAATGTGACCCCAAATGTTTGCGGCACTATATTACAGCAACTTTCCTCACCTGTATCATCTGAGCTGGGGCTGCCTCGTTTCCTTTTCTTCTTTTTCTGTTGTTTATCCCCATCGTCTCCGTCAGCAGCTGTAACCACCTGCCACATCATTGTCGCTGTAGGTGAAAAGGAAGAACATACATTGAGGTTGTGTTTCAGATGAGAAGGTTTAACACACTGATCTGTTCTGAACTACAGGTAAAAACAGTGCATTTCTCTTTGTACATTTTAACCTTGATAACCATGGTTACAGAATACCAGATTACACCAACTCAGTGGAGTGAGTAAGTGAGTTTAGTTTCACGCCACACTCAGCAATATTCCAGGCGGCATTCAGATAGATGAGTATTCTCCACATGTAATGTGTACTATATACATCGATTCAATCTGTGACAGGTGGGGTAGCCTTGCAGTTACTTATCAAGTATCAGGAATCACTTATCTGGGTTCCATTCCCCACACTGGTACAATGTGTGCAACCAATTTGTGGTGTCCCCTCAGAGTTATTGCTGGAATATTGCTAAAAGTGGCATAAAACTAAACCCACCCACTCACTCACTCACTCACTCAATCTGGACAGAGTTGAGTTTTATCATATAATATCACAACTATAGGTTGTCACTGACACATTTTCAGTTGTTATTCAATGTGTTAATACCATGTGACAAGGCATAGAAGTGAACAACTTACAGGAGTAGATTAGGGCAGGGAATATAGGCTCGTTCCTCTCCTGGGCTGTCTCCACCAACACACGCAGCGGGCCCTTGGGACACAACACAGCTACCAGATCTGAGCAAAACAGTACACACATAAACCTGGTGGTTCATTAAATCAAATTCCATCTTATAACAAGAGAATATTGATAATAGCAACAATAAAACATAAAGCTGCATCAGACAAAGATACTACGAAAACAGAAACTGACACTTAAGGCAGTGTAGTTCCAACTGTGGAAGATTAAGGCTGCTGGGTCATGTGATTTTCAAGATGAGAGGATTCCTCCTAACTGATGTACAGTAGGTGAAAGATCTGCCCATAACACATGAGCGTGTAGTGTCAAGAGATTTTGGAACATACAGAACTATGAGGCATTAGAAGATCAGAGAGACAGGCAGGAACACAGGCCCTTGTGCCTTGCTAAAATATTTCCAATCAATTAATATTACGAATGTCAGATGCAAAGATGCATAGAATAAAATCAGTTGCAGGAATCCAGATGACAGCTTAAGACGAGTTTGCTGATGTAATGGCTGACAGACCCCCACCCTACTCAATAACTACGGTATTGGGGACCTGATATGACTTGGGACCTATTCTGACCTAAGATCCTTACAGTGGTGTTTGCTAGAGAACTAAAAGGCTGGCTGACTGACCCCAGACAACCATGACACCGAGTACAACCCAGGTGGTCCAGTCTGGGAGGTATTTGATGAAGATGAGTGCCATGAGGGCGTTGATGACGATGAGGTAGGCCTGTTGCAGCAACAGCGGACCCTTCCAGTGAATGCTGATCATCCCTACAACTCCAAAGTTCCACATCAAGACGACCACCGTGATATAATCGAACGGGACATTGTAGGCTCGCAGCACCTCACTGAAACAATGAGAATGAGGATGACGTTATATATGTAATTTGAAGTACTCTGTGTGTAGTGACTGTACAAAACTCATATTACTTAGTCACACACATAACTCAGATACAGGTACATACATCATTCAATCTGATTTACAAGATATCAGTCAAAATGTTTTGTTAAAACTCATTTATTACAAATGTAGCCATCTCAGGAACATATCAATTGGTCTTTGCTACTAACAACTTGGTGAAATTGTCCATTTAACATCCTCAAGTCTGCTTATCTCAACTTTAAGATGAAAATAATTACCAGCGCCTCATACATCCCATTAATGCATTTACACACTTACCAATGTGAGCATAGCCATCAGAAACCTCTTTCAAGTAGGAAAAGATCATTTGAATGTCATGCCACTGATTTGAAACTCAGGAAACTTCAAGGTTAGTGGTACTTTTGCTTAGCTCGGGATTAATCTCTTGCTAGTTTACATTTCACCACTTGTGGACAACTTTTCACCTTGGTGCATAATATTGTCAGTGACCTTAGATGGAAATTGGTTGTGCTTTCCCTCCATTTCAACTAATTCCAAACATAATGAAAGGTTCAAAGATACGGTGGAGCAAAAGACATTGTGACCATGGTAACTGCTTTCAAAATAACTAGAAAAGAGACTGATCACTGCAAGTGAGTGGGTATGGTTTTATGCCGCTTTTAGCAATATTCCAGCAAGATCACGGTGGGGGACATCAGAAATGGGCTTCACACATTGTACCCATGTGGGGAATCGAACCCGAGTCTTCCGAGCGACGAGCCAACACTTTAACCACACACCCCTCCTGATCACTGCAAAGACTGAATTCTCAGTAAATATTAATTTAGTCATTCAATCATTACAGTGAAGACTTGGGTTTGACTTCACATACAGCTGGTGGAGCCTGTTATTGACAGTAACTCCCATACAGCACTGCTACACAGTAAGTGTCTTTCACTCACCCCAGGTAAATGTATGAGAAGAGGAACAGGAGCATGAGTGAGGACACAATCAGCCAGCCGTGGATCACCTGAATAATACAATTTGTGATATAAGGCTATACTCAAGACAGGAATTCAAGGAAATATGCAAGGAGCAATATCTAAACACTGGTGAAATAGACATCTAAACACTGGTAAAATAGACATCTAAACACTGGTAAAATAGACATCTAAACACTTGTAAAATAGACATCTAAACACTTGTAAAATAGACATCTAAATACTGGTAAAATAGACGTCTAATCTCTGGTAAGCTAATACACTGTCTTGTGGGAAAAAATAGACATCTAAACACTTGTAAAATAGACATCTAAACACTGGTAAAATAGACGTCTAAATAGTAAAATAGACATCTAAACACTGGTAAAATAGACATCTAAACACTGGTAAAATAGACATCTAGACATCTAAACACTGGTAAAATAGACATCTAAACACTGGTAAAATAGATATCTAAACATTTCACTAAAACATACACACACATCAGCAGTGCTAGTGAAAGTTACATCTTGCACGTCTTATTTAAAATCTATTGACATAGGCCCCTCCCATTTATAGAAACAGGTCAGGCTGACTTATAATTCAACCCCCCAATAACTCCTGCCTAGAACATATTATTAACTACCTCACATAAATACCAATCTAATTTGAGTTAAACTTTCTGGGTATTAATTTCAATATCCCAATTGTGACTGGTATCACATTCTTATCCTGACCTGTGAAGAATCCCCCAGTACATTGTAGACAGATGAAGAGCTCACCTTGTAGCATCTGTACTTGTACAAGAGAAGCAGCACCACAGTGAGAGCTACAATCACACCCAACAAGATGAAGGCATTGGCAAAAGACTGCCACAGTTTAGTTCCTGTGTCATCGGTCTTGTCGTGGAAAGGTGTGTAGATTCTGGAGAGATGATGGTTGATATCCATGTATGACTTGTCTAAATACATAACTTGTCTAAATATATGTGATTTTCATCCAAAACCTGTGTGTCATCATGACTCAATGCTGAATGTTTCAACATTGTAAGGGTCATGAGCACAACTGAGAGTCATGAGTGAATTTAACTTACAATCTATAACATATTTAAAAAAGAATTAACATAATGAAGATTATGTTGATAGTATGCAATATATACATACAAACATTTGTATAGCGCCGATATCCAGTACAACTGCTCAAAGGCGCTTTGTTTTTCCTCGATCATTGGATGTCCATCACAACGGCACATCGTATTTTCAATCTCAACTCCCTGGGGAGCATACAACTCTTGCTGCCTACTAGGAGCACCAAGTTAATGTGGCTTTCCCATTCTTACGAGATACCCATTCACAGCTGGGTGGACTGGGAGACATAGTCACAGTACTTTGTCCAACTTTACTGCACGCTGCTAGGTGTTTGCACGTATTCATGTGGCCACAATCTGGTCATCTACCAACGGATTTGTGGGTTCTTTTAAGTGCACAGGGTTGTGTACTGTACACTAGGGGTTGTGACAACACTGAAAGAGTCTGCACACAAAGTTGACTCCAAGGTTTTTACACCCGGTCACAGGTGGGCTCGATCCCGGCACCTCCAAGCTCGCTGGATTACTAGCCTGGCGTCTTAGACAGCTCGCCCACCGCGCATATGGTAAGCATATGGTTTGAATAAATACAAAACCTTCTTTCTATATGTCTTGTGGGAAATAATACTGACAATCCTAAATGCTCAATTCCTTTCATATTTTTACAACATCCCTTCATTATGATCATAACAGGAATTCAGTAACAAGAACTATAAACAAATAACATCACAGCGAAATCTCCATGATGTTTGGATATGAAATCAGCTCTCTTTCTTCCCCATGTCCCTGCAGCACACATAAACATTTTCCATATATTGTCAGTATTAGGTATGAACACAGATTTTATACTTCTACTGCATCAATTATTTCCAAAATATGTGCAATAAAATAAGAAAAATTCATCTTTGAAACTTACAAGTAAGTTGTTTGTTCTGTGTAAAATGTGACAGAACTAATGGTTGCTACGACAACAGCCATACAGAGTGTGACAGGCACAAACAGCATGATGACATGCTTGGCTCCGTACAGCAGCGTTTCGTCTTCCTCATCTGATCCGGCACTTCCCTGGTTGCTGCTGCCATTCTGACGCGACTGAGCTGATGGGTTTGTGCTATTATCTTGGTCACGCCTTGTTTCTCTGCGAACACTCTGAAATGATACAATATACGCATGGTAAGGAATAATGCTTCTATATTTTTTCACAGACATACAAGCATTGGTAACGTTGGATTTTTTTTTTATTAAATTGTTGCTACCTCATAAAACAAATGACTGAAAAAGTGAAAAACAAAATCTGAACAGCACATTTTATGATCTGTTTGATTGGCATTTTACAAGTTGATGAATAATATAAAGGTATGATACTGTATGGATGACAACTTCTTTATTTTATGATGATGCCATAAATGCATCATAATATACAAAAGAAGTTGTTATCCATAAAGTATCATACTTTTGTTAGTACCTTGTATATTTCATCTATGAATGTTATCAGACACATGCATTTAAATAGGCCCTACATAAGTATAAATTGTTCATATGAAAGTAGCACAAACAATGCAAACTAGGGCTGGCTGTCAATATAGATTGTATTTGTAGAGAACAAAAACCATTGACGTAATATCAATCAATTATTGAAAATATCAGAGAGAAATCAACGTATGTTAAGTCACTTGTGAGTGGTGACACATTTTTGGCATGGATTGCTAACAATTAATAACTTTTCCCACCCATGATATTACCAATTATCAATCTTGTTTAGCCAGTGTTACATAAGAAGTATTGTCAGTTAGTTCTTTAAGAACAAGTTTTGCAATGAAAAGGACGAGAAAGCAAATGATGAGGTCAAAGAGGGTAGTATGTTAAAGGATGGGAGCTGAAGCTTCTGTTGGGTATTAATGGTTTATCATTCACAAAAAGGCTTTAGATTAAAATCATGCAACCACAGGTTTACACATAACATTTAATAGTAATTGTCTGTGACCTGTTCGACCCTTTCCATTCATTATCCAAACTCTGAGGCATGACTAATAAATTGCGTGGATGTATCTCTGTCAGTCTGCTATATGTTTGCGTCATACAGATTCTCACAATTCTGGCTGTTTGTCACATGTGACCCATGACAGACATATAGTATGACCAGAAATTATTGAGAATTTTAGGAATATGTTTGATTGGATTTCTAGTATAAACAACCTTGACCAGCTATCAAGTGCTTGGTTTCATTCAAGAGAAACAACTCTGTTAATCCTTTTTCATTAGTTTGTGAAGAGTTATCCCCATTTGTTTACTTGCTAGCAGACAGTATTTTCAGTGATCCTCAGTACGGATGATTTAGAGAAGTGGAAGTTGATTTTAGAGTATTATAACAAGGACATCAGATCAGCTAAAGTGATTTCAAGTAGAACAGGCATCCCTTTGTCCACTGTTTATCGTGTTTTGAAAAATATTGCAAATGGATATGGCATTGAGCACCAGGGAGGCGCAGGTAGGCCAAGAAAATTGACTGTCGGTGACAGGAGGCGGCTTGGTATTCTTGTTTCTAAAATCAAACGAAGGAGTTTAGAAAACTTAAGGCTGGATATGATTGATAGAGGAACTGTGTCTGTCTGTAAGGAGACAATTAGAACTGAGCTGCATGCAATGGGTTGGCAGAAAAGTCGAGGAATTCCATCACCGATCATGAAACCTGAACAAAAGGAGCGCGAAGGTTGAACTGGTGCTTACAGCATGGAAATTTTAACTGGCACAATGTGATTTTCTCAGATGAAAGTTCTGTGTGGCTGTTTCCTAATACACTGAAATTCTTGACCAAACAAACTGAAAAACCTTTGTATCAGCGCCTAAAGTACAGTACGAAATTTAACGTGTGGGGTGGCATATCCATGTTAGGGGCAACGCCCCTCTGTGTATTTTGAAGGGAATATGAACAGTGAGCGGTACACAGATATTCTCGAGGGACATTTACTTCCATCTGCTCACGTGTTCTATGGAAACCCTGACCTAAATCCAATAGAAAATGTTTGGGGACTTATGAAGGAAATTGTCAATAAGAAAAATATGACAAATATTGCTGAAATGAGAGAAGAGGTGGTCCGATATTGGGACAGCATGGACCACGACTTTCTAACTTCTTTGATCAGTAGTATGCCCGCCGCCGCATTGAAGCCTGCATTGCTGCCCATGGTGACTTCAGGGCTACAGATAAGGGGCGTACAGGCATAATATACGCCTCAAAATCCAATAAGTACGACATAATATAAGATTTCAAGCGTATCGTGTACGCACATAAATACCTTTGTACGTCTAACATTTAATTTCCGTGTGTATCGTGCAAATGGAAATCTATTTCGGATAAATACTTGTCAAGTTTCTTTTACGAAACACGATTTTACACATAAGGAAACCCCGACAGTAGGAATCCCTTGCGTTGCCATGCAGCGATATGCGTCACTATTTTTCGATTGGCTAAAAACTACACTGTTCCTATTTATATCCAGTCGGACCTGACATTTCGCGCATCACACGGTCGCTCAGTTATTTCTCACGCATCTTCATCTACAAATACATGGTTGGAAATAGTGATCGATGAATCGTCCAGACAAACCACATCACCAACTCGCTCACACAAAAACATGTCAGTACTCCTTCAAAATTCTCAGTACACCTCCACTTGTAATATGATGTGTAAGTACACTCGCACCCCCAAAAGTTATCTGGAGCCCTGTGACTTGACAAAATACTAACTGTTCACCTGTCTTTGAATCTGCAGTTATGTTCTGCTAATATTCACATTTAATACAGGAGTAATGAGCGAAAAAAATTAAAAAATTACAGTCTTTAAATTCTCTATAATTTCTGGTTGTACTGTATATTCTATATTCACTGACAAGATGATATTGTTCTTATCGACCACATCCCACACCAAATCCTTTTGGGAAATCCTGCTGTTGTATTCTGACATTTTCAGTCCACAATGTATTACCATGATAACAGTAGGGCTGCATTGATTCTTCTAGACCTCGATTCGATTCGATTTTTGATACTGGACCCTCAATTCAATCATTTTCAATTCGATTCTTTATACAAGTAAAAACATCAGATTTCATTTAACTCTCAGAGTCGGCTTTTTTAGTGTGAAATCCAACGTCAACTTGACAATGTCTACTTACAACAATTCTTATTGGATAATTGGCCTGGCGTCAACCAAACATGTTTCGCCTTATTTCAGTGCTCGAAACTGCTCGAGTTGGAGTAAAAATTACGTTCTTGCTGTGTGGAAATAATTTAAATAGGTATTCAAATATCAAATTGAAATAGTGATAATGGTTATCAAAAATCGAAACTAATGTTTCAGATTAGATTTTCGATGAATCGAATCAAATCGTTGCAGCCCTATTTGCCAGTTGTCTGGTCTTTTCTAACTTTTGAGTGCACTAGTCCAATTTTGGGCCTACCTTCACAAATACAATACAGCACCATAAACTTTACAAATTACATCACAATACCTTATGATGTAATTTGAGAAATTTAGTTTCCAAAAACAATGCGCTGTGATGTCAAACTGTTGCTGGGTTATCAAGTGTGCTTCAGCACCACTCAATGTTCTGTTGTCTCTATACGCATTTTCATTGAGTAAGACAAGCGCTGTAAAAAGTTTGCATGCCAAACATAGACAGCGGCAGCACATTTTTTTAGCAAGTGCCAGTTTATGAAAGCACTTTTATTTTAAAACGTAATTTTCAACGTAATTTTTAGGACTAAATGAATTTGACGTCTGACGCCTGACATCAACAGCCATTTTCAGTTCGCACCATATTGGCTCATTCCACACCACTAAGTATCTTGTAAATTACGGAATGGGATGAGTGTGCCAAATGGCATCATGACCATTCGTCAATTGTCCATAGATTAAAAGCACATGACACCAAGAATATCCGTAACCTTTGTATATTGTCCATGACCTATTCAACTCTTTATGTTTGTTTCCGTAACGTCTCAGGAATGACAAAACAAATTTGCATCTTGTGTAACAATGTGGCCATTGCTCAGTCAGTTAACTGTCAGGAAAAAATCCATAGGTTGTGGGTTCACGTCCGGATTCTCACAAAACTAGTTGTTTTTCTTAGTGACATGTGACCTATGACAGAGATCGTCCGCACAAGAAGTTGTGGTGCTGTATTCTAAAGGTGCTCCAGTATTTAATGTGGTAGAATTATCAAAACTAGATATAATTCAAGGAAACTTATATTTGTGTCGGAAAAAGAATCTCTATGCACATCTTTTGGATCTTTAGGATAAGTTGAGTTGGAGCAGGTTTTATGATTCAGTGTATATTTTGTTCAAGTTTTGTAAGATTCATAAAATCATTCACATGGACCTAAAATTAGTAAAACTACTTCAGGAAAATTAATGTTGAAACAAAATCCGAAATAGATCTATTGATTTTCACAGTATTAATTTATTGTCTCCTTGGTTTAAAAGTTTATTTGGAACTTAAATTGTATAACAATAGACCCACTTACACTGAAACCTCTTTCGTCGGTCTGTGTTGTGTCCAGTACGGCAGGGGAGTCTCTCTGGTACGACGGAGTCGCATGGCTGAAGCTGACGTTTTCCATGTTTCTGCTGTTACGGCTGCCGGACACAAGACCAGTCCGCTCGGTTGGCTCTCCGTCGCTTGGCGGGGTTGCAAATACTCCGCTCATACAGATTGTGTCATTGTATCCCACAACAGTTCGATAATTGCCCCTTGTGTATTTGTCAACCCCGATCGGTTTTCTAGCCGAGTGAGTCACAAGACACAGAGTAAATGCTGAATCACATACAACATCCAAACAGCGAAGACTGGAAATCAATGATTTAACAAGACAGAAATTATAAATAAAATGTATAAAAACTTAGACAGATACTTAAATCAACGTTTAGATATTGACTTATTTGTTTTACTTTTGGGTAGTGGTTCCCGGAAGTAAACTCGAAAGGAAATGACATCAACCCACGTGATAGGAATGGCTGCCCAGTCTTATGACTTAGCCGACCTTTTCTGTTGCGCGTACGCTACAGCAGAAATCACACACAGCGCGCATTCACAGAAGACAAGAGGGATCATGAGTGACCTCTCGCATTTTTCCTTTAACCTCACAAGAAGGTTTATCTTGAAATGACACGAGTTGGTCACACATGATCCCGGGATAAGAATTATTAATCTACATGCAAATCGATGAAAAAAGAAGAAAGTCATTTAAAGATAAACTGACGTTTCTGTTATCTTCATACTGATAACCTTTCAGGCCAGTGAGTGAGTTAGTTCAGTTTTACGCCGCTTTTAGCAATATTCCAGCAGTATCACGACGGCGGACACCAGAAATGGGCTTCACACATTGTACCCATTTGGGGGAATCTATCCGGGTCTTCGGCTTGACGAGCGAACGCTTCAACCACAAGTCTATACATATAGCTAGTAGGCTACCCCACCGCCCCCCTTTCAGGTCAGACAAACGGGACATTCCTCATGATGTTTACGAGTCATTTGTCAGCGAGTGAGCAAAAAGGCGTACATGGACACACCGATATAACCGATCAATATGATTGTTATTTGTCAACCGCTCAATGTTTACTGAATGAAAATAGTATATTGGTAAGAAAAGTACACACTCTAAACCTAAGTGTTCTAGAACACTATGAGAACACCCTTCCTGTAACAGATTTAGAACGCAGTCGGAGTGTTCTGATTTAGACACTATGTGTTCTGCCGTCAGAACAGTAGTGTTCCACTTACAGAACGCTCGTGTTCTAGATTTCAGAACAATCTTGGTGTAATATAGCACAACTTTATGGATTACAACTTCTTTTTATTCGTGAGTGCGACCTTTCGATACAGATTCTTGTACCGTTGTCAACCATTAATGCTCCGTTAATCGTTCATTATTCAAATTTATAGTAAACATCAAAGACCGACACACATACACCTCGAACACAGTCTAACTATCTAAGCAGTGACTACAGATGCACTATAGTACACTACGCCTATCAAAACTCAACCGTATCTAGCAAAGGGTCATTGTGTATAACCCGTGACGTTTCCGTTTATATATACAGCATGACATCATGTTAATCAGTCATGTTCTCAAAAAGCGGTAGATGGGTTACTGTTGTGTTTATTGCTGAAGGAGATATGAGAGAACTTGTAAATGTTCACACTTGAGGCGGAATCAGCCGGAATCAGTCGGAATGAAAATTCCTGGAGATAACTGGAAATTCAAACTGCATTTTAAAACTTCTTACTCCATTCCGAATGCACTCCAACTATTCGTGTCAATTCTTGTAACATGCCCGAATGTTCTGAACATGTTCAAAACTTTCGAGGGACATTCGAAGTGGAAAAATATCGAACAGCGTTTGAAGTGCATCCTAACGGCCTTTTAATTATTCTTACTGCATTCTAAGTATTCTGAACGTATTCGAGGGGGAATCAATAAGGCAAGCCACTTCAAATCCAATGTCCCGAATGCGCCTCGAATGTATCTCGATTGCTGTTGGAATTTAGGTGGAATATTCTTCAAACGTATCGGAATATATCGATTACACTTGGAATACATCTCTAATGTACATCTAATACACCTCGAATACAGTCAGAACGTCCCAAATGCTCTTCAAATGAGCCCTGACGTCATCAGAACACCACCGAATCGCATAAAAACGTAACCACCTGTCACTGAAACTTCAGATATCATTTGGAATGATCAGGCTAACTGTGTTCCTTGCCATGCGGAAGCTGTACATGATGCTGGGGTACCTATCACCTGAAAGGCAGGAACCTCAATATGATGGCTAGCTTCAAGCCTGGACGTACGTATAGTGCCTTTCTCATATATGTATCTTGCTTCTGTATTCTTGGTCCCACTCTGCACCAACTCATCAAACATGGCAGGTTCCACCCTAAGGTAGTTGAAGAAAGACTGCGTGTCCTCAACTCTGAGCTCCTCTATCAGTCTTGTGTAATGTCCATACAGCCTCCTTCTTTCCTCTGTCAGCCAAGGTCTGGTCTGGAATCTCCTGGCTCTTCTCCTCTTTCTTCTCCTGGTCACCTCCACATCTCTTTCAATCAGGTCTTGCTGGAGAGGACAGAAATCTGGAGCAACGCAACATGGTCCAGGGGGTCCATACTGTATAGGAGTTGGGCGGAGACTGATGAATAGTCTAGATTCAACTTATTTTTATACCCCATCGTGGAACATTCCAGCAGCATTCCTGATGCATTTCGGACATTCATGTTACATTGTAAGTGCATTTGAAGGACAGTTGAAATATTCGAGCTGCGTTCTGTTTGAATTCTTTAACATTCGATCCATATTCGGGGGTCATTTCAAGAGGGTTCTGAATGCATTCTATGTAAATTCGTAGAGCATTCGAGATACTTTCAAGCTGAAATTCGAGTGCTATTCACGCAGCAATCGAACCGGACTCGTGCGGCAGTCGAAATTCATTTTAAGCATTCTTAGTGTATTCCAACGGCATTCTAATTATTCCTTCTGTATTCCGATTTATTCGAGCTGCATTCGTGATCTAGTACGTTTGGAATAAGTAAGAATCATTCGAAGTGCGTTCTAAGTATTCCAACAGCATTCTTACAAAGCTTGAAAAAAATGTTTATTTTGACATTTTCTCCCGAATGGGTTCCGACGTTTGGAAATATTTTATTCTGGCTGATTGTGAAGTGTGAAGGAGTCTTTTACTGACAGTGAACTTTTGAATGTTAGACGACTTTTCCCCGATCTATTTGACATTTTATAATTTTAAAAAATGTGTTTAAAAAACGATGAACTGCTCCGTTTAGAAATTAGAAATCTCCAGGTAATGATCTTCAAACATGTTTGAATATAACGCTGATCTGGTGACCATTACATGTATTTACTTTACAATATGTTCGACTCGACACATCACTTGTAAGATATTTGAAGGCTGTTGTGCCTGGAAGTATGTGTGTCGGTGAGAATCAGTAGGAAGTTGATGTTGAGGTTTTGTATGGATTAGGTCAAACTTCACTGTTGTTTATACCGCTCCAAATGATACAAATGTTGTCGGTAACACTGTCTCATTCCATCGCCCCTACCGCGGCAGATTTACGCAGGGGTTTCTTACGCTTTCCTTTGAAATCAGAAATAATGGATCAGGAGATGGGAAATCACGGAAGAGATTAGAGTGAGTGAGTTGAGGTTTACGCCGCACTCAGCAATGGAAGAGATTAGAAGTGAGTGAGTTTAGTTTTACGCCGCACTCAGCAATATTCCAGCTATATGGCGGCGGTCTGTAAATAATCGAGCCTGGGCAAGACAATCCAGTGATCAACAACATGAGCATCGATCTGCGCAATTGGGAATCGATGACATGTGAGGAAGAGATTAGGCAGCACACAAAAAAGGAGCAAAGGTACTCTAGCAGCAGACCATGTGCTCCCTAAAGTATGGCCATGGTCATGTCCATGGAGTACTGGACTAGCAATATGATTCAGTTTCGCGATGCGCACTAGCATGTGGTCAATTAAACATCTGGTCACAGGATACATCTGTCATTAGATTGAAAGTTATCTATTCCTCTTGTAACGTTTATCATAAATTTGAACAGAAGACCTTTTCAACTTGCTTCATGTTCTGTTGGGTCGTATGAAAATGACCACATATATGTGTATTGTGGACATCAATTGTTCAACTTCTGTGAATAATTCTTTCAGTCATTAGTATCCATTAAAATCAGTGACTCGTTTTTCAAAGCGCCGGGATGACTGGAACTCTAGTTACTACTGTAATGGCTGTAACATCACTTCAAGAAATGGTACCTCTTCGCAGGACAGTGAACATAATGCGTTTTAAACCTCCATGGAGTTAATGTACCGGTAGTATTAATTAGGTGAGGTGAAATGAGGTTTAACGTAGCACTTAACATTATTTCGCTCATAAGACGACGTGCATGCGTGTGTATGTGTGGCTGCTTGTACTAGCCCAGACTTAAGCTGGTTTTATAGTGCAAGCTCACCGAGATACCATGCCGCAGTGAAGCATGAATACCCCACTCAGACACATTATACCGACTCCGAGCCGCCCAGTCCTTTATGCCCAGAGCCAGACGGGGACTGCAAGTACCATTTTAAGGTCTTTTGGTATGTCCCGGTCCGGATCGAACCCACGTCCTTCCGCTCTCCTACCACTAAACCACGGAGGCGGTCTATGTTAAATGAAATAGATTACACTTTACTGATGTGTGTTTTTATGTGTCCCTTTTATAGTTGTTTCTATTTCAGTTTGAAGGACTGAACTTGATGATGCTCTTTTTGTGTTTCCCTCCATATATTCAGTTCACTTAAGATAAATTTTAAGAATATTTGGTTTATTCAAGACAGATTCCATATTCAACAGTGGTACAATATAAATAGTCAACAAATACTGGAAACATATCATCACATGTAGAGTTGTATCGTTTTGTACAACTTGAAAAACTGAACAAGGAAAATAACTCAAATACTGATTTGCTTATGGATGGAAGAAACTTAACCTTCTAGCATTTTACATGACAAGCAAATAATTTACAAATACATCTGCAAAACGAAATGTCCAAAGACACTGATGATTAAATGGAATGCTGACCATTGATATATCACATGTGGACATAAGGCTGGACGGTGGGAGCAGGGAAAGGGTATATGTACAAAGGGGAGACAACTCTGAGAGGTAGATGACATCAGTCAACCTGTGGGTTGTGCTGGAACAGGTATTCGGCCTGAAAAATATAATAAGAGAAGATGATGATAGTTTGTGAAAAATTATATAGCTTCAGATAACAAAACATATTTTACAGCATCCAAACAATTTATTCTCACATAATAACCTCTCAAACATAGAAATATATATATTTAGCTTACTTTCTGATTTGAGTGCCAAAATAATATTTTTAACATAGATGAATGTTGTAAAGTTATGAAATATTATGTATTAATTTATTACAAGATTAGTAAAGTTATTATGTATTAATTTATTACATGATTTATATAGTTCATGATGTCAAGTGTTATGAAGGTATGAAGGAAAGTTCAGTCTAAACTAACAATATAATCAATAGGATCCTCAGGACGTGTCTTGCAGCAGTCAATGAGGCCCTGGGTGAGTGTAGGCATCACATGTTTCATGAGGAAGTTCCGCAGAGGGATAGACTGCGCCTCCAGCAGCTCATACTCCTCCCTCTTCACTTCACTGAGGCGCTGAGACTGTAAAATCACATACATGCTTTGACCTCCAACTTTTCATTAAAAGAGATATGTATTAATGCAAACAATACAGCACCCAAAAGGCATATAATTGGATAATCATTCCTTAGAGATTTGCAAAAGATGTAATTCGGAAACTAGTGAGTGAGTGAGCTAAGTTTAAGGACAGAATCTGAATTTGTCGTTGTATTCGCTTGATGTGGGATGAATTAATAATATAGTTTTATTTGGGCTTGAAAAATTAGATTTGTTTCCAGCAGCATCATGTTATAAGCCTCACAAACCAGCAAATATATTTCTATCGCTAGATTGGAGATGACTAGGTTTTCTGCTGTCCAGATGAGTCATGAATACTCACCCATTCTTCCTGTCTCTTCTTCCTTTCTGCTGCTTCCTCTGCCTCTCTCCTCTCTCTCTCAGCCATCTCCTCTGCCTCCCTCTTGAGTCTCTCTTCCTCCTCCTGTCGCCTCATCTCCTCCATCTCCTCAGGGGTTGGACCTTTAAGTATTATCAATAGTAGCAGGAATTAACAACAGCTACCAGAAAATATGGAGCATCCTTTCACTTCAAAGACAAAGGTTTACAATACAACCTTGACCTTGATTCCTGACTTTGAAAAAGTATTATCCTTTTAAACGTGTACATTAATATTACAGTAACATTCATCACAGCTTATAGACTAACATAATGAATGCTAATATATCTCGCTCTAATTATGATGAATCAAATAATGCTGGTTTCTTTAGGCAATGTCCATCTCATTTTCAATACACATCCCTGTGACTGCTATTACTGATACACTCACCATAGTTTCTTGCAGGGCCCATGATTTTCTTGATTTTCTCTACTGTTTCCTTCATCATGGGTGAACCATCTTTGGTAACATCTAAAAGAAAACAACATGATAGGTTAGGGATGAATCTCAAATAGTTGTCATCATATTCATCTCCTAGACATTTATTCCAAAAGTCAGAGAACTCAAAGTATACAAATATACTGTAAGGGACCGTTCATAATGTATGGCTAACTAACTGGAGGGTTTCAGGTGTGTGTGTGTGCTATATACCCTTCCACCTGGGCCACTTGGTCAATGTATGTTCCAAGTACATCTACGCTCCTCAACTCAACTTCATATTTTACTCCAAATGTTTATGAAATTTACATGAAGTTTTAATTTCAAATACAGTGGTTATAATACCTTGAAGGAATCTCAGTGGTTGTTATTTGACATCTGACTCATAACGGAGCTTACCCATTTTCTCTGGATGGAATTCCAGTTCATCAAAGTAGTTGAGCACAGTTTCATCCTCTGTATTGATGGAGCGGAATTCTGAAAGACGGTTGCCCAGTCCTTTCTCTGTGTTGTGTGTACCACTAACTACACTCTCTGGCAGATTCATCACCCGAGCCTTCAAGAAGTCATCAGTAGCTTCCAGTGAGATGACAAACTCAGGCATGATAGTTCTGTCAAAGTTACCTCCCTTAGCTGCTTCCTCAGCCTCCTCATCATCTTCAGCTATAGAGAAGAATCCCATAAGTAAGAACAGTTTCCACATCTTAAAATCTATCCACAGTGATTTTTAAAAAATCAGGTATAATTTGTTTATGAATGGTTGGTAATTATTATCTCAGACTTATACCTGAATTCATAAAATAGTTGGTGTTATTCTAAAATCATGTGTTCTATAACCTGAACAACCTGAGCAAAGTCGTTGATGTACTACATCCATTATTATAATGATAACATACTTGCAAACAGATCCTTTGCTTGCTCCAGTGTCTTTGGGTATCCATCCAAGATGAAACCCTGATTTTGGCAGGGCATGGAGTGGAGCTTGTCCCTGAAGAACTTGATGACATATTGGTCCTCAATACGGTTGTTGTTCTGCTCACGGCTTTCATTGATCTGTTCCAGCAACTCCTGAGCCTCCTGAGCAGAACCATCATCATCCTCATTGTCTTCCGCATCAGCTCGTTTAGCCTTGGCTTCCTGGAATTAAAAGTATGTGTTTCTGAACTCACTGTTGTCCTGTTACCATGTTTCCAGACTAAATGAATAACATAACAGGGTATTTGACATGCATATAACACTGTGCACGAGAAGGTAGTATACTAACCAGACTCTCTATCTCATCATCAATGACCTTCTTGATCTGGATGTGGTGCAGTTTGTAGTGCTCACACAGCTGCTTTGCTATTGTAGACTTGCCCGACGCAGGGGGACCCACGATCACAGCACGCAGAGGCTGAAACAGGAAAACAGAAAAGATGAAACTCAATGGATTCAATAGAGGTCGTTTTTTTATGATGATGACCCTATGACAATGATTAAGATGGCAAATATCTGTATTAAAAGTTTTGTTGAACGGTGACTTCCATCTTAAATTAATCGACACTGTGACCTACACTTAATACTAACTATCCTATAATGCATACATATATTGCCATTAATGTCAGTTTGAGAATAGTGTTTGACCCTGATAGTTCTTCGTGCTGACCTGCAGTGCCCGTGCATCCTTGTACTCCTTGGTGACCAGCGCGATGTTCTCCTTGATGCCACCCTCGGACACCCAGTTGATGCGCATGCTCTCCTTCACATGAACGGCATCCATACGCAAATTCACCAACAGCATGTCAAAGTCAGCTTGCTGTAACATCGGACAAAAATAATCATAATTTATTACATGTATTCTACCTATATCTTCCACAACGAATTCATTCATATCTCATATGACATACAATAGCATAGGGTAATATTTAACTGAGGTCACCAAGAGGTAATTTTGGCTTCCTTACTTCAATGTCCTTGCTGAGCAGAGCTTCCTCCTTGGTGATGAACTTGACCTTGCCTGTTCCCTGTTGGGTGCTCACTTCCTGTCGACAGAGGACAAGTACTGTATAGCTGTTAACTATTAATGAACCACTGACCAGTGATCTTGAGCTGTCCAAATACACAGGTGACCAATGACACATGGGTGTTTACAGGTGAACTATGTTGTATTGGTGTCAAATTAGTGATGAGTTATGTATACAAAAGTTAACACACACATGTTGTATAAAGATGTCTTCATATACAGGTAACCAGTGATGTAAAGGTGTTAACACACACACACACACACACAGAGGTAACCAATGTTGTATAAAGATGTCTTCATATACAGGTAACCAGTGATGTAAAGGTGTTAACACACACACAGGTAACCAATGTTGTATAAAGATGTCTTCATATACAGGTAACCAGTGATGTAAAGGTGTTAACACACACACACAGGTAACCAATGTTGTATAAGATGTCTTCATATACAGGTAACCAGTGATGTAAAGGTGTTAACACACACACACAGGTAACCAATGTTGTATAGATGTTTTCATACACAGGTAACTAGTGATGTAGAGCGTGTAAGTAACAAACTAATGGGTAACAAATTAGCCAAACATAAATTGTTACAAATGAAAAATAATGCAAAGAAGAACAACTCTAGTGTTATTTCTTATGTTAAGATATTCAAACCAAGAAATTCTTCTTAACCCTGATTACTAATACTCGTTTAAAGGAATAAAGTACACACTATTTACAAGGTTTTACAGTTACCTTGACGATTTCCTCCAGAGTATTCTGGGCATCATCTTTGGCAATGAGGTACCGCACTTTGGGACGTGCATCAGCAACATTCTGAATCACTCTGAAACATCCAACATCACGTTAACTTCCTGAATACAATGGAATCACTCTTACACCAGAAAGCGAAATAAGATTGTTACCTCTGCGCCAGATAGTGACACATGCCAACTCACCCTGCCAGGTCCTTGATGTGGATGGTGGGGATGACATTCTGCCCGTTGCCGAAACACTGGAGCTGCTGGACATTGTGCCATGCCGACTAAAACCAGAAATGATGAGTGATATTAGTGCTGTTATCATTCACACAGTTTTGGTGCAGCATCAACGTTTGAAATTAGGCATGAATGTCAAGTGGTCCTTGTCTTAAGCCTAATGTTAAAAATCAAGTATTTCCTAGATTCAAACACTGCAGGACTTAAGGACCCAATGACACCTTTAATTTCTTACACTGATCACAGTACTTTGTTCCAGGATATAAATATCAAACCAACCCAGGCATGTGTAGCAAAGGCACATGTTATTTGGTAAGGCAGTGAATTGTAAAACACAATTTGTATGAGTGCAAAGATTCACGAATCTGATGACTCAATATTACTAAATATTCTTTGTTTCCATCACTAGTTGTTCTCACTATTGATTGAATACATAGCCGTAACATGAAAAGAGTTCCTGTGCCTTGTTTTGTAACCTAATTATCGAGATACATATAAGATAAGGACAAAGTGGATCATGATTGTCTTCAAGTGACATTTTAACTCAACAAATCTGGTATACATTGTGAACAGAAACATGTTTACTTACCTTGAAGAGGAAGTGGAAGATGTTTTCTTCAGCTCCATATGTGAGGCCAGAGCAGATGACGTAGGTAACCAGTTTGGCTTTGTTCTGAAAGAGATTGCAAGAAAATGGAGAATGTAAAAGGCTGATCACTGCACTAAAAGGACTTAAAGTAAACATTCCATTTTAACAGAATATATTCATCATTGACTCAAGGACCAGGTCAAATCATTAACAGAGATATTACATGTGTATGGTTAATTAGTCATTGTAAAACTACAAGGAAGCGAGAACGTACTGTTTTGCCAAGCTTGATGACAGTCTTCTCAGCACTGATGTGTTCCTTGAAGTTTGGATGTGGCTTTCTCCTCCTGTAATCATCTTCTGTGAAGGGTATTTCAGGATCATCCTGCATGCCAGAAATCATGAGTATTTACATCCTAAAGATAATTACAGCCCTCACTACCACAGAACAACAGCAAATATCTTAAGGAGTCTAATTGTGTAACCATACAACTCAAAAGCAGTTTTAGAACACCTGAGGGAATTTTCATGCAAAATTATTACAGGTATTTTGAGGCCCAATTATAATTAACATAAATTGGGAGGTGGGAGTGGAAGGTGTTAAATCCTACATATATTCTCACTAGACAGTTATCACAGGTATTTTATTCAATTGGCTCGCTGCAAATAGCTGCAAAATTGCTGATGCAGCATTAAGCAATACTCACTCATTTAGTCAGCAGGGAACTATGTAATGCAATAACGGAGTACTGGATTCCTATCATAGTACATATTGCAGGCTCAAACAACTTTCCAGGTGATGTCATTCTTCAGCTGGCACACGATGCTAGGAGGATAATGAAAATAGAAGAGTGTATGAACTCACAGGATCCAGGGTTTGCTCTTTGCCCAGGTCATACAGGAGGAGATGAGGATAAACATCTTCGACTTCTCCATCTTCTCCAAGTCAGAATGGAGCTCTGTAATATAACATGAGATGACAGTGTTGCAATATAAATAACTGTTTGTTCAGGATTCAGTAAGAACTAATTTTCAGGATATCAGTGAACTCTATTAGTGATATCATCCTCACCTGAGACTGCCCACACAGCTTCATCAATTTGGTCTGGATCCTCTGTGATGTCATACACGATGACATCACACTCCACAAGCTGCTCATACAGTTGGTCTTTGTTCTCAAACTGTACAAAGTAGATCATAAACATATTTTTGTAATTGTAGCCTATGCATTAACTTTTCCCTAATCACAAACTTAATCCACCTAATACTCATGTCTGTTTATCTATTCAGAAGGTATTTATCACCACGGAATAAGTAGAATAGTGTTTCTATTTAAGTGTTTATTATTTTGTAATTATTAATTACCTTTAACAATCATGAACGTGAAATACTAAATCTAAGGACTTGACAATATTTTAGATGAGATTCAGACAAAATAATTTCTTACCAGGATGAGTTCCTTGACAAAATCTGGTTTAGGTGTCCCCCTGTCTTTGAGAGTACCAACAATTTCATAGCACCCCTCTTTGGTTGTTGGGATGATGGAGCTGTCAGTGGACCTTGCATCATCTTCTTCCTCTTGCTCCTCCAGAGAAGATCCAACCACACAGCGGGACAGAAACTGTTGAGGAATACCAATGCAATATTATGTTTTCAAAGTGATATCATTCCACACATGAGAATCCAAAATACACTGTATAGCCTTTTCATCACAAGGACCAACCCAAATTTGTATGGGAATCAGATGGGATATACATGTATTTTTCGATCTTGGCCATGTCCATTTTTCATATATCTGCCCCTGTTTACTTTTGATTAGGACTATTGCGATGCACCCTCATATTCGGCGAATCAAACAGTATCCTTCATGAACTCAATCCATTACTCCCGATCACTAAAATTGATTATTCAAATATTCATGAATTTATTGAAAAAGAGCATTTATACCTGAACTAGCATGTTATTTATCAAAGCAAGAAATGCAATACCGGGTATATCCGGTCCAGCAAGATAATCGTCAATACTCTTATAGCTGACTGAGTTTGGTTTTACGCCGCTTTTAGCAATATTCCAGCAACATCACGGCTGGGGACACCAGAAATGGGCTTCACACATTGTACCCATGTGGGGATTCGAACCCGGGTCTTCGGCGTGACGAGCCAACGCTTTAACCATTAGGCTACCCCACCGCCCCCAATACTCTTATAGTTTTAATTTGACAGTAATGTGGTGGCTGGTCATTGTCATGATAAATTGCCATTGTCAACATGGTTTGAACATGAAAAATATATATTGTTATTGTTTTACTGAATATGATAAATAATACCGGTACATCTGCTGCTCACTTGCTGCTGTATTTATTCCCCTATATTCAGATTTGTTCCCTAATATTCATGATATGTATCATATGTACCAAAGTTAGACCATATATACAAGATTATATTGCATATTATACTGTACAATCACCCTCGCCTAAAACGATCTTCTGTTTCTTTGCAATATTTTGGGCTACTGGTGTTATTTTCAATCTTATCTTTTCTGGTTGAATTGTACCCCAAAGTATTTTCACAAGTTGTTAACAGTGTTATATACTTTAGAATGTTTTGTGACAATGACAGTGTATGGTAAATTATATTTAAACAGGGCTGAATAAAATATTAACACTTTAGTCTGAACGAAGGGGCACTGAGCTGTCAAACATCAACAATTTCACAACTCATATGACTGTATCTATTTGCATGCCAATCACATAAGATTAAAATATATCATACATACGTTTGAACAGAATTACTAACCTTTGCAAGATTTCTCCCCTGATATTGGTCTACATGATTAATAAACATGCGTTTACTTTTCGGACGCAAATCGGCATCTTCTTGTGTACTCGCCATTTTGCTTGCTGTCACAGTTGCTAAGCGTCAACTCATTCCGCAAGGGAAGCAACTCTTGTATTTATCCTCCGCTAAAAACAAGTCCATACTGGCATCCAGTTGGCAATGAGACGATAATCTCTTTGCAAACAGTTAACCATAATAATCTGCGCTTAGGCCTTGTGTTATATGTTACGTTTCTTCTTATAGATGTTTCTTCTTATAGAGTATTTCAGCTGATACACTCACATTGGGTGACATTTCCAAGTTTAATTCTTTCAGTATCAGAGGACAGTTTGCGCTCACATTTGACCCTGATTTAGATTAATTTATTCAGATTACGCATTAATAATATTAACAAATGGAATGTAATCTGTTTAATTTCGGTGGTGGTGAAAAAAGAGGCGTAAAACTGAACTCGCTCACAAGCTCAGTTTGTGATTGAAATACCGAGCGCTGCATATTTTACGATCACTTCACTGAAGTAGGTTATATGCATGCACGTGTGGAGAAACGTACTCCGGCTGGTGGCACCAAGAATGAACTCCTCTCGATGTATCCATGTTGGGAATGGAGCTTCAGCCATCCAACTGCCCCTCCAGCCCTTCTGTCAAATACGATGATTCAGTGATCATTACTCTCTCAGAAGAACGATTTACTACTGAAAGTGCATTTTATATTAGTAGCTCAACGTATATGGCAAGAATTTATGGATGTGAAAAATATCTTATTTATGGATTATTTTGAGGAATACGGCGGTTTGGAGTTTATTCTTACTCCTTCATCACCTGGGGTGATATATAATATACCAGAAACCGTCGTTTTCAAAATACATGATGAAGGAGGAAGAATATACTCCGAAATGTCGTGTTCCTCAAAATAATGAAGTTGACATCCATACATTCGTGTCTTTATGTCTATCACTTCTAAATGCCGTTCAAAGACTTCAAAGTATATAGAGGATCTCACCCAAGTGTCTACTGATATCAATTATATCAACACGAGTTGATAAAGTTACAAATATCCGAGGCTTGCCGATGATATTTTTTCTTTCATCAACGAGTGTTGATATATTTGATATATAAAAGACACGAGGGTGATATTCTATTTATCATCAAAAATCACTCTTCATTAGTTTTCAATGAAAAATGTACATCTCTGAACATGGTACTGCCGTTAGACTTGCAGTGCGGCGATGTCATAGCATTGTGACGTCACCAAGTTCATGACGTCACAGCATTGTGATGTCATCACGTTCGACGTCATAGCATTGAGTCATGTAACTGATGATGTCAGGGCATTGTACAAAATAAATTGTCAAAGCGATATCTCCTAGGAGAAACTGTTTGATCTCACACAAGCTGTCCTGTGGAACATAGGTTTGGATGCTAAAATTAATAGTTGTATTGCACAGAACATGAGATGACCTTTCATTTCAGTGTTAATTTTTCCGCCCTACAAGATACACGTTTCCCTTTGGATACATTAACTGTATATTCAGGGAGCCATGACCGTCGCAACAACGCGTGCTTCCTCTTGTGTATAGTTCATAGTGCTGACAGTTAAGTCCTTTCATCCAGTGGCCTTTGCAATCTCCAAATAAATGTCACAACAAATGGCCTCGTTGCTATACACCCGGGTATCCGTTGGCATTTCTTCCTTCTGCAAATGGCACTATTCCAGTTATGCTGACAATGTTCCACCAGTGTGGTGCACTAAATTTATTATCATGTACGGCGTTTTGAATATTAAGGCATCCCCGAATGTGTGGCCCTATGTTCTATATCTCCAGTTAGCGTGGCCGGAAATAGCCATATTTACCGTTGTCGTTGCTAACGTCCCGTGTTTTAAGAGATTCTCAACCGCTCTTCATTCCTTTGAACACTGCATCGTTTCATTTGATGACTATATGTTCAATAGACTGCATATTCAAGGTATTTAAGAAGGCAGATAGTGTTGTGTTTAGTTTGTAGACCGATGTTGAAATGTCCGCAGTTTGACGGAAATATCAATGGTGATGGCACTGACAACCATTTGCAAGTGTTTCTATTTAGAAATGTGTCTCTTAAATGTAATATCTAAGGCCGAAATAAAAGCTGTTCTTTTATCAATACATGGGAAGATATTGTTAAATCGTTACAGGTAAATATTATGTATATATCTTAGGTTGGTATTTTAATTGTAAACTACTCTTTCAAACGTACGGCCTACAATGGCATCCTTACGATACGTTAGGAGATCAACACGATTAAATATGCCCATGTTAATTCCTCCAAGCAACGACTCTCGTTACCGAACACCACCTATTTAAATAATGAGGAGTGAAGCGGACGAAGAGTGAGTGAGTGAATGAGTTTAGTTTTACGCCGCTTTTAGCAATATCACGGCGGGAGAACACCAGAAATGGACTTCACACATTGTATCCATGTGGGGAATCGGTCCCGGGTCTTCAGCGTGACGAGCGAACGCTTTAAGCACTAGGCTTCCCCACCGCCCCCAAAAAGCGGACGAAGAACTCGTTGTAGATATTTGCTGATGTTGAATGGTAAATATAGATTATGTAAATATTGTCTCCTTCAGTGGAAATTGGAATCGCGATGAGACAAACTTTTTGACTTGTCATGAAGTTGAGTTAAAGAGGAGATATTATACAAGTACTTAATTATTTTGATTTTTTTTCAGTACGGGATAATATGATTTCAGTATTATGTGTCTCCTGTTGCGAGTTTTTGGCCGCCGTTGGATCAATAATCCTTCTGTGTGTGTGTTGTAACAACATCATCTTCAGCTAGGCTGGAAAAGCTTGCTTCTTTTGCCCACGTGTCGGGCTACTACTGACATTTGTATATATTTTCACGGTCTATTATGGTGTGCCAAAACATGATAACCCAAAGCCAGACCCACATTTATTCACAGGTTGACACATTTCTTTTTAAAAGTCGATCAACACTCCTACTTCCTATCAATAGACTCGTGAAGGTCCGGGTTAGAATGAACCTTCAGTAACCCATGCTTGTCGTAAGAGGCGACTAACGGGATCGGGTGGTCAGGCTCGCTGGCTTTGGCTGACACATGTCATCGGTTCCCAGATCGATGCTCATGCTGTTGATCACTGGATTGTCTGGTCCAGATTCGATTATTTACAGACCGCCGCCATATAGCTGGAATATTGCCGAGTGCGGCGTAAAACTAAACTCACTCAACACAACCCTATCCTTAAAGTGATAGTGACTGCTAGGTCTACGAGGATGAAGACAGCTTCATGAACCGAGAGCTTCATCCTCTACACTACAGCCTTCTGGAAGAGAATATTCTCCTATATTTCTCATCCATTGTGTTTGTGTGCGTGAAAGGACGTGTTTGGCATATGCAGTTGTGTGTATATGACGAGGAAGTGTTTTGTATGTTGGGATTCGGTGGATGTGCTTGTTTGAAAGGATTACCAATGTGATCGTTTGGTAAACTTTCTCCTTTTCGGTCGTTTTTGGCTACTGCCTTGCGGTGTATTTATTGACACATTCTTTCGATCTTGCTACCAATTTTGGCCATCGCCTCGGCTAACATTTCCGGCTTTATTTCAGTTCATATCAGAGGACAGTTTAAATTCTCCCCGTTGGACCCGATTAAGATACCTTCTGCAGGTAGGCGTCATCTAAATACCATAATAAATACTGATGGATATTATACACAGTCTGGTTTCCTTCCGTTCCGGAATCTAATAACGGATATCTGACAGCATCAGTTTCTGTATAACTGAGATAATCTACACACATGAAAATTACAATGTGCAATTGATATATATATATAATTCACATGAATTTTGGGAAAAACAACATGGAATTCCCCTTCAAGTCATGCCCAGTTACTAGTCAACAATATTGTGATATCCAATAATTCATTGTATGATATCTAAAAATCAAACTTGTAGCATCAAGAGGTCATTTTGTGATATCAATAAGTGAATTATTCATGAAAAAAAATCAGGAATAAATAGTGTGAGTGAGTGAGTTTAGTTGTACCCAGCTTTTAGCAAAATTCCAGCAATATCACTGCAGGCTTCACACATTGTACCCTGGTCTTCTGTGTGACAAGCATGCTTGAACCACCATGCTACCCCACTGCCCCCAGGAATAAATAGCAGAAGGGTGCTTCGTAAGTCATTAAATAGCTGTATACATTTTAGACAAGAAGCAGGGAGCGTACCTCACAGACTGCTTCCTGATTTCAGTCCCTTCCAAGACTGGACCACCTTGACATGCTTGTTTTGAATAAACACACACACCCTCTATTGTAGAGAGTGAGTGTGTTGGGTTTTAGGCCGCTTTTAGCAAAATTTTAGCAATATCACGGCGGGGGGAAACACCAGAAATGGGCTTCACACATTGTACCCATGTGGGGAATCGAACCCGGGCCTTCGGAGTGACGAGCTGAATGCTTTAAACCACTAGGCTACCCTACCCCCTCTATTGTAATATACAACACAGAAATGTCATTGGTTCTTAAACTAAATAAGCATTCTTTATTGATACCCGCTGACAATGATAAATTTCAGTTGCCCTGACACTTTCCAGTGAATGAAATTAGAGTCAATTATATTATTATGTGCAAAAACGGCAAAATAAACAATTAATTTGAAAAAATAGGTTAACAAAATTTCAAATCAACACAATGTTCTGACAGAACAATGAATATTCATGTAAGCCAGAGATTCAGGATTCCTGCCTCATGTATGAAAGGAAATGTTAACAAGGTGATCAATAAAACCATCCATTAAAGTATAACTGTCATGAAAATATACCTTGTCTTAACACATTAATAACATTTGTAAAAGACACACAATCCTAGTGCATAAAACTACCTTAAAATAAATAGCACCTATGAAGACATAGTCTGACATTGTACAATGGTACATTGACATAAACAGTTCACTAAATAGGGCAGCATTTTTATTTTTTGTGTTTCTCATTGCCCAACCGACCCTTCTAATTTTATTGTCGACCCCCCAACTTTTTTTTCATTCCAACACCGCCAACTTGAACCTTAAACATACTGAACGTACCGCCTAATCATATAAAATGTGTATCTATCTAAAATGTTTTAATCAGTCGCTGCCACAAGTCCCAAGAACACAAGAAATTGTAATATGAATTACAATAAATGTAAATCAAGAACATTATTTGGATAATTTTGTTTTTATTATTTTTTATTTTTTCCGGACCAACCGACCCATGTTCAGAATTTGGTGGCTATGTGAAACACATAAAAAAATGATGCCTATACAAGCATTACATAAATTCCGTTTCTCCGTGTTCAGGACTAACAAACAAATCAGCAAAACAGACTGGACTATGGAATAGGTCCACATTATAGATATAGCCACACAGAAAACAACATGAAAAAATTCCCATAAAGTAATGACTGAACCCAACCACAGTTTCAATGGAAGCAAACACAGATAACCTGCAACAAATCAAGTGGCCAGACATTCAGTTGCCTGCAGACTCCACTGAAATTGAGGCAGGTGTTAACAATGCAAATATTATGGGGAGTGTGGCTTGTTTGCAATTTGTGAAGTTGCATTTAAAGTGTGACAAGTTTGTTGGCTGAAGCTTAGTCCATTGATTGTTATTCTTCCTGAAAACATGCCACCAGATAAATTAGTTTGTTGTTGTTGTCAAAATGTGATTCAGAAAATGGTACACACTCCCTCTGAATCTGTGAATGGTTTACTTGAGCTAGCACTTAGACTTTACTATGATGAAACTTTAGGTGCATTAGAACTAATAACTGAATCATTACAGCCTCATGTAGGAAAACTTCAGCAGGATAATTCAACATATACTTCAGCACATTTAACATACTGCTCTTAAAAAAGAAACAAACCTAACTAACAAAGAAACAAATCATAAAATGTGAGTAGACCTTGAACAAAAACATACTGACTAGAAATCATAGCCTGAACAAAAGAAAATACATACAAATATAGTGGAATGTTTGAGGTGATCACAAAGGGCATGTATGATACAAAGTGTAACATATGTTACTTTAACATAGAATGTGAGGAAGAAAGGCTAACTAAATAAACTGGTAATCTGAAATATCATCAATGTGAAGAATTATTAACAATTATCGATATGAAAACAGTGTCATCAATAATAGCTTGCAAAAACTATTGAGAAATCATGTTTTAATTAATACACACAATACACTATGTTATGTCCTTTATTCTAAATTATGCTCAGGCTGTAGTTGTTAGTAATCCATGCATGAATGTGTCACCACTCATCAGTGACATGAGTGAGTGAGTGAGTTTAGTTTTATGCCACTTTTAGCAATATTACAGCAATATCACGGCAGGGGACACCAGAAATGGGCTTCACACACTGTACCCATGTGGGGAATCAAACCTGTGTCTTCAGCGTGACAAGTGAATGCTGTAACCACTAGTCTACCCCACTGCCCCTCAATGACATGAAATACATAGTGTATTCTATTATGTCTGTAAAACGTGATCTGCAGATTACATTCTGCCTTCGGGAACAATTGTTTTGGTAAATTAAAAGCAAATTTCATTAAAGATATTATTGATGACCCTTTTTATATCAATAATCATCAATATTTGTTCCCATCAATGATATATCCAAATATTGATCTTTTTGGCCAGCCATAATAACACAATCATGTGTCTACTTATCCATTTTTCACAAATCATCTGATTTTTCTGGTTATACAATATTCAAACAGGACATATTTTTACTGAATACCCTGTAACTAGCACACACTGTAGCTTATTGTGATGTCCAACATTTGAGCACTGAACAACAGAGTGAAACAACATTAACACGCCATATTGGCTGGAAGATCAAGGAGGTTGCGCTACAGAGGTCTAGTCAAATGAGCCCCCGAGGCCGATTGTTATGCTCTCATCCTTAGCATGTGGAACATATTCTAACGACCACAGCATGTCTGTAACCACAACTGAAACATAAAACATCAGTTATAACATCATTTATGATCATGAGCACAGCTGTCACAAATTTCAATATTTCACCTATTTTTCCCCATTAACAGTGAGTGAGTGAGTATGGTTTTACGTCGCTTTTTAGCAATATTCCAGCAATATCACGGCGGGGGACACCAGAAATGGGCTTCACACAATGTACCCATGTGGGGAATCAAACCTGGGTCTTCGGCGTGACGAGCGACGCTTTAACCACTAGGCTACCCCAACCGCCCCTCCCCGTTAACAGGGATGAATGAGTGTTTACATAGCTATGAACATTAATTCAGTTACATCATAATGTGTCAAGTTAATGTGACAGGAAATCTTTGTTTACTTATGAACACCCTTATCCATGAAGATCCGGGTTAGAATTGGTCTTCAGTAACCCACGCTTGTCATAAGAGGCAACTAACGGGATCGGGTGGTCAGGCTGACTGCTGCCATGTAGTGAGTGAGTGAGTATGGTTTTACGCCAGCGTCTAGCAATATTCCAGCAATAGCACGGCAGGGGACACCAGAAATGGGCTTCACACATTGTACCCATGTGGGGAATCGAACCCGGGTCTTCGGTGTGATGAGCTAACGCTTTAACCGCTAGGCTAAACCACCACCCCTGATGCCATATAGCTGAAATATTGCTGAGTGTGGCGTTAAACAACCAACCAACCAACCATGAACTCTCTCTCAGCAGAATGTCAGCTGCATGATGGCTGCCTGTAAATACTTTAGTTTGGACAAGGCAATCCAGTGATTAATAACGTGAGCACCAATCCATGCTGGGGTAGGAGGACCGGAAATCAACCAAGTCTGCCCACCAAATCCATGTGCTCACCTTTTATAACCAGCTGACCAGAAAACCCCACAATGGGGGAAGAGACAAGTTGCCAGTGTGTATCAGACTGGTGAAAACCACGTGTACAGTCAAGAAAAATAATCAAGGGTCTTTTATCCAAGACAAAAGAGTCCTTGTATGTCAGAGGCAAAATTACAACCCTTCACATTGCCATGAGATTTAAAACTACTTACATATCTCTCCCTCTGATAATGTCTCTTTCATGCTCTCGCAGACAGTGTTGCAGGGTTCCCGTGGACGCACCGTCACCTGCATTGTCCCCTTCACCTGCGCCAACACCACCATCGATTGCGCCATATCTATCTAGAAAACAACAGCAGTGTGTAATTGATGGGAAGAATATTCTGGAGAAGGAAGAATGACGTAATATATGTTGTACTTAGAGAACAAATACTGTATTTATATGAAAAACATGACATCTCACCCAAGTGAAATAACATTTAATGCCAGAACTACTTTCAGACTACCTCAAGGACCAGAGCATGATCATGAAGATTAGTAAAAAATTACATTTAATATTGGTCAAATATTGGTCAAATACCACATTCATCTTCTGACCATGTCACAGTACTCAGACAAACTTTCTTTGACAAGAAAAGCCTCTTAGTGGTACCACATCTAAATATCGACAGCCAGAGCCAGACAAACCAGTCATCTAGAGTAGATGTTTTCATCTTACAGTGACACCAAACCACTCAGTTAAAGGTCATCAAAGACACAAAGCAGCCACTGGACCACCATCATCATCCTTATGACGACGTTTAGAAAAGGTGTGGGATGAAGCAACCAGTATATATTAAGGATTGGCTGGTTATTTATTATAGATCTGACAAGATGAGAGTCACAGTATAACCTGTTGTATAAAAATGCTTAATATTGCAGGTTTCAGTGAGTGAGTGAGTATAGTTTTATGCAGCTTTTAGCAATATTCCAGCAATATCATGGTGGCATACACCAGAAATAGGCTTCACAGTCACACAATGCACCCATGAGGGAAACAGAACCCAAGTCTTCAGCATGACGAGCTACACCAATGACCATTTCAGGTTTGAAAGTTCATACCTATTTTATGCTTATGTGTTATCTGTATTGTAAAACTAAAACAAGTAAATTAATGTTTGATGTCACAGTCCCAAAAGAGCATTCAACTTACTTTCTTGGGGACTTTCCCTGTGTAATTGGAAGCTATGAAGACAAAGTTGCTGATGCCAATCTCCACTGTTGGAGGCAGGAAATATGGCCTCTTGTAGAGATATCGGAATGCCTTGGCAGCATCCGCAAAACAGTTCTCCCTGAAATATATCAATATTTGTTAAGAAAGTGGAGAGAAACATAAAATTTATAGTACAACTAAAGCAGGCCCTTCAGTCCATTCAGACATAAATGAAAATGGTCTTGACCACAAACTAACAGAAACAGACCAACATCTAATCTGTGAAACATATATATTGTACAGAAACAAAGTTGTTAGATTATGGTAATAAAATGTGACAAAACGGAGCTCTGGCACTCTTCATTTTTACAAACTGAAATAATCTAGACTATTACATTGGCTGTATTGTACAGTCCTAGTAAAATCTAGATATTTTTTAGATTTGGATAGTTATCCTGCATTACTCCTTAATGCATTTACTGCTTTCCTTTGACAAGACGAAGCTGTGCGATGGAATCATCGAAGAGAAGTTGTTCCAACTAAGCGAGCCGCCATACTGCCATCGCACTGTGCCCACGTGACCCGGAAAGTGCTGACGTCATGTATCTTCACATTACTGCTGGATCGTAACATCTGAAGAAAACCATCGTAGGGAGGTAGGTCGCAGCGATGGGTGGGCGACGAGACTGAGTAATGCAGGATAAGTATACAAATATAAAAAATATCTAGATTTTGTACCTTATCCTGCATTACTCCTTAATACATCTGTATCCGATGAAAGGAGGCAGGCAAACCTTCAGATGGGATACTCATGATGAAAAGAAACCTCTCACACCGCAGGAGATAATCCGTCAGTAGTCGTGGTAGATAAATACCAAAGACCAAACCTGCCAGGATAAATGAGAGTGTGAGGAATGGAAGGCATCCAGGTAGGAAGGCAGTGACAGAAAAGCAAACGCTACAATCTGAAACTGACCTACCGAGCATATGCAAACAGCATGTAACCTGCTCGTCTAGGGTGACATACACCAAGAGAGTCACAAGGCTCGCTCAGGACTGCCGTGGAGTTAATGGCAATTGGGATTAGTAACCTGCTGTACGCCCTCTACATCTTCCAGTGCCACGTCCCTCAGGTAGTGACTGGCGAAAACTGTATCGGATTTCCAAAAGCATCCTTCCATGATGGATCTAATGGAACAATTACAATGGAGGGCCATCGTGGAGGCTACCGCTCTGATTTCATGAGGGTTGTTAGCCCGAGGAGGGTCCAAGTCGGTGGCTTCATAAGCCTGGAGAATGGTGTCTCGCAACCATAATGCCAAAGTGTTATGACTAACTTCTGCCTTGTATGTCTTGGAGACAGGAATAAAGAGCCATTTCCTCGCACCACGATGAGCCTTAGACCGGCGAAGAAAACAACGAAGTGCACAAACCGGGCAAAAGTGAAGTTTATCAGCGTCATCCTCAGATCCCACAATCAAAGAAAGAGGCGGAATCGTGAAAAAAATCTGTCAGGCTGTCCTGGGAGTTGATTTTTTGCAGTGAAGTCCCAGCACAGTCCCAGGTGAACGGCTCCATGTGGGGTCTGTTCAAATCAAACACGGGTGACATCGAGAGCTTGCAGCTCACTCACCCTAGCTGCCGTGGCCAGCGCAAGGAGAAAAACCGTCTTCTTAGAGAGGTTGTAAAAATATGTGGCATGAAGCAGCTCGAATGGCGCCTCACGCAACAAACGTTCAGGTCCTAAGCAGGCGGCCTAAACTTCTGGTCCTCTAGATGGAAAGAACGCAACAAAACTTGCAATTCTGGAATCTTGGTCATCTTTCTGTCCTCTGGAACAGCCAACACACGAATTCAGAGCTACCAAATACGTCGTAATGGTACTACCCCTGAGGTGTCTGTGATTATGCAGAAACAGAAGAAATTCATCCAAGAATTGAGGCTATGCAGTAACCGGATCCTGGTGTTTGTCCTTGCCAAACCCCTCAAAGGATCTCCATTTGTCGTCATATAAACCTTGAGTTGAGGGTCTGTGTGCCAAAGTTATGACCCTCGCAGCTCTAGCTGAATAACCCTTGGCGCTTAAAGCCCTTTGCAAATGTACCAGGTGTGCAGGCGAAACTGACCTGGAGCCGGATGTGGAAGCCTGTTGTGTGGGTGTATCAGCATATTTGGCCACTCTGGCAGCTTTAGAGGATCGTGGGTGACGAGCTTTCTTAAATCCACAAACCAACTCTTCATTGGCCACCAAGGCGCGATCAAAAGCAGAGAGAGGTGGTGAGTCGCTCTGACCTTTTGAAGGACCCTGGGTAGATGTACCGGTGGTGGAAAAGCGTATGCGCTTAGGTTTTCCCAAGGAACGCTGAGAGCGTCCACCGCCCACACTTGTGGAACTGGAATGGGAGATATGTAGGTTCAGATCTGGAAGGTCTGAATGGTGGCAAACAAGTCTATGTTGGGATGGCCGAAAAGGCAACAAATGATGTCGAACGCCTCCGGGTGTAGCTTCCATTCCGTGGGCGCTATCCTGTCCGGTCTGGAAAGGTTGTCCGCAAGAATGTTTCTGTAACCTCGGAATTTGCTGGACGATGAACTTCAAGTCCAGGCAATCGACAAGATGAAAAAAATCGAAATGCCTGATGGAGCAGGGATGGAGAATGAGTCGTTCCCTGGTTTCAAAGACACCAGACCACCGTGGTGTTGTCCGTTGATATGATGAGTTCAGCATGCTGAAGGTGCGACTGCCAATGAGACACAGCCAGAATAACTGCCTCTCAGATTGTTGATATGCCACTGGCTCAGATAGGTGGACCACCGCCCTGAGATGACCTCTCCCTCGAGATGGGCTCCCAAGCCCTGGAGAGACGCGTCTATGAACAGGCATAGAGTGGGTGTTAGCTCGGTCAAGGAGACGCGCCCTAAGACGTTTGACTCTATCGTCCACCACCGTAAGTACATCTTACGGTAGAGTGATGGAGACCGACTGATCCTGGCGCCTGATGAATGGGGCTTGGAAAAGTTGGATCGGACATAGCTGAAGACGACCTCTGAAGACGACCTCCTGAGCTGAAGTACTTGCCACTGGTGAAGAGTACGAGATTGATGGAGTGCTGAATAAAGATGCTGCAGAATCTTGAGTCAGCGGTCCCTTGGAAGGGATAAGAGGTTCAGATGTGTCTGGAACAATCCCCCTATGAACTGTAGCGTGCAAGAGGGAGTGAGATCTGACTTCTGCTCATTGACAATCCATCTCAGCTGATGAAGCATGCGTCTGGTGAAATCCCTGTGAAGGACAAGAGTTGACGGGTCCTGCTAATGTAGGAGACAGTTGTCGATGTAAGACTCAAATTGAATGTTCCTCAGGTGTAGAAAGGCTGCTATTGACTTGGTTATTCGTGTGAAAAGCCACAGGGCCGAAGAAATTCCAAACGGGAGTACTACCCATTGGTAATGGATGCCATTGAAAATAAACCTGAGGAAACGCCTGTTGCTTGGGTGGATTGGCACAAGCAAATACGCGTCCAGCAAGTCGAGACTGATCAGGTAGTCGTGAGCACTGATTCTGGTCCTGAGCAATCTCAACGTTGTCATTTGGAAGTGAGGCGGAGGTTCCAGATGTTTGTTGAACCGAGACAGATTGTGGATCATTCTGAACTTGTCTGAGTCCTTTTTGGAAACCAGAAATATTAGGGAGTAAAAACCTGGTGGCAAAGTCGGCTCCTGCACTATCTCTATGGCTTTCTTGTGTAACAAAAAGTTTATATTGTCCAACATGATGTGATGTTGGTTGGTTGGGGTGGGGTTTTTTTATTTTGTTTTTTTAAAACATCCGTACGAGGTGAGATTGTTAACGGCGGATTGTCTATCAGTGGAGGATGTTGGTGACAAACAGCTCTTCAATAACCACCAGTTCTGCCTATATCGACCCAATCTCCCACCTACTGGGATGTCTGTGACTGGAACGAGTTCCCAGTCGTTGTTGTCCAGCACTTCATTGCTTGCCCCTCTGGGACCTCCCTCTACCGGAACTCCTGTCCCGGCAGGGCTGGTAATTCCCAGATTGTCTCCTTCTCTTACGACCTCTACCCCGAAAGTGCTGGCTGGATTGGGGCTGGAGAGAGTTACGCCGAGGTTGATAATCCCCTACCCTAGGAACTTTAAGCGCTGAATTCTTCGAAACTTGTTCCAGGGCCTTGAGGGCCATCTCATCACGAGCATAAGCAGAATCACGGGAGTGTGAGTTGGAATCTTCGCCATTAAAAAGGGAGGAAGCAGACCAAGGCTGACGCAGCAGACGTCCCATTCTGAAAGAGCCAAATATCCCAGGCGATGTGTCGCCGTGATTTCAACTAACGCCGTCTTCAGATGACTACCTATATGCTCAATTTGCCTCTGTTGAAAAGTCATCACAGTGCGGAGATGGTCTATACCATTCGGATTGTTTTCAGGTAAGTCCTGACTAATCACCCCCGAGGAGGAAGCCAGTGCCGACAGAGGTTTGAGGGAGTGTCAAATTTTCGTCTCGATAAAGGCTTAACGAGTGTCTGGCTTCGAAACATTGCAGGTTTAGAGGAGCCAGTCATCAAGCGTGTAAGGCAAAAGGCAACCGCCACCTCAAGAGCATGGATAGGAAAATCATCCTTCTGAAAACGTGGCACCTTAATGGATGGAGTAAGAGATAACTTGGCAAAATTCTTGACAAGCAGCAGTTATCAAGTCCTTGATCATAGTTGGGTCCAACCAAATAGTATCCCTCTTGTCAAACCCCAGACCTCGGGAAGGAGCCACCTCGGATAGACGATCCGCCATCCACTCCGGGACTTGTCGAAGTCCTAAGTGAGTATTAATTTCCAGAGATGAGTCCTCATAAATCGGAACAAAAGTGCCCTCTGATGAATCCGAATGGTAGTTATAAGACCTCCGGACATGAGAACGACTCGAAGACCTGCGTCTCTGTTTGGTGGATATCCTGCTATGGCGCGAACAGGTTCCTGGTGAAGCTGAATCACGATAAGAAGGAGCCCTAGAAGTAGAGGCGCCACCAGTAACTGTTGATGGAGCCAAAAACAGGCGATGCCAAGGGTGCCACACATGCCGGAGCAGTAACCGAAGCCACAAGCATCGACGGAGTCGGAGAAGACACAGATGAAGGAGGCTCCGGGAATACCAGTGGTGTGGCAGGTAAAGGTGGTGCAGACTGTGCAGTAGACAACAGAGCGGCGCCCGAGGTGCTGCAAATGCTGTATGTCCTGGGAGGTAAGTGAACGCCGGCTGTGGAGTAAATGGAGGGACCACCGAAGGCGCCATCCTTCTGTTGAAACATAGACTGTAAAAAGGACTGCATTCAAACTGGATCCATGTAGGGCACACTAGTCGGCAGGAAAGCTAGTCGTTGCCACAGGCGCTGATGCTGTCATCACAGATGCCACTAGAGGTGCCGGACAAGTAGATCGTGTCGGAGCCGTTGAAGACGAAGACGCCACTGAAGTGGCGGGCAGTGTCAACAAATCACTCAAAGACGCTGTAGTAGATAAACCAGACATCACCATGGTCAGTGGGGTTGACGTCTCCTCCGAAGTAGCCAGGGAAACAGACACCCTGCATCTGTAAGTCTGTTGCGTGAGTCGCTTCCTGGAAACCCGCAAATACTTATTGAAAGCTGTAGGAGAAAGTCTGAGGCAGAGAGCACACTTGGATGTCAGGGAACACTGCCGAGTACAGTTTAAACACCTCAGATGGGGGTACCTGCTGGACTTGCTGCCGTAGCAGGCAATACAACATGGCACAAATCTGCAACATAAGCAGAACCCCAAAACCAATGAAGTGTGTAAGAAAACACACACAAATAAAGAGACAACCATTATTTCCTGCCTACCAAAGACATGGTTAAGGGAAAACTACATGCTTGTAACAATATACTAAATAAGTTACAAATACAATTTAGTAACTAATATTGTAGTATATAAACAGAACATTGGTAAAGTAGCTTTGTAAAAAGACTACCAAGGAATAAAACCTACAAAACCAGAGCGGAACATGAGGCCGTGTTCACGTGCACTGAATGCAACATGGTTAAATGGAACAATCAGACGCACGATATAAACATGAAGCAAAGAAATAACGTGCAGACCAGGGAAATACACAATTACACTTCTCTTCAAATAAATAGTCACAAACCGTTTCTTGAAGAAACTATCAAAAAGGAATAAACGGCAAAAGAAAAACACAGAAAAACGTGTTAAGTCGCAAGTTTAATCCCTGCAAAAAATCGCACAGCCTGTCAGGCTGGTGACAAGCAGTAATGTGAAGATACGTGACGTCAGCACTTTCCGGGTCATGTGGGCGCAGTGCGATGGCAGTATGGCAGCTCGCTGAGTTGGAACAACTTCTCTTCGATGATTCCATCACACAGCTTCGTCTTGTCAAAGGAAAGCAGTAAATGCATTAAGGAGTAATGTAGGATAAGGTAAAAAATAAACCTCATTGAGACATGGGACACTGAAAAAAAGTTCTTGTTATCTGGTGTCTGAGACAATCATCAAAGCAAACTTTCAGAAACCGGTAGCCAAGTGCAAGGCCTGAGATCTATTTCTCACATTTCTGGTGTGCCCCGCCATGATATCAACGGAATATTGACAAAGTGGCATAAACAACTAAACTGAGACAACAGGTACAGTTTCGGACTCCACCTACCAGTGAGCAAAGTAGTTGGTTATCTCCCCTTTGGCTGCCTTGTTGAGGAGCTTGCGGTGCTCCTTGTACTGTTGGCGGAGATTGCTGTTGAAGCTGCAGCTACTGTGCTCCCTCAACACCTGGCTCAACTGGTATGCCTGTGTACAACATAGTGAGTGAGTGAGTTTAGTTTTACGCCGCACTCAGCAATATTCCACCTATCTGTAAAAAAATCGACTCTGGACCAGACAGTCCAGTGATCAACAACATGAGCATCGATCTACGCATTTAGGAACTGATGACATGTGTCAACCAAGTCTGCGAGTCTGACCACCCGATCCCGTTAGTCGCCTCTTACGACAAGCATGGGTTACTGAAGATCAATATTCTAACCCAGATCTTCACGGGTCGTGTAAAAACATATACCGATAAAAAAACATGTTATTGACCACGAATATTTCAGAGATATATTGATGCAATTGTGACATTAGTCTTCACTTAAAAATATCGTCCCCAAAATTAGACTGATTCCTTATGTTTTTGTTATATTTCATGATCAATACACATGAAAGTGAACAAGCACATGGATGGCAAGAAATTCCAAACACTCAGACCAATCTGCTTCAATCTTTCCGACAAGCTAAGAACAAGTTATTTATTTTCCTTTGATAATACAGTGTGTATCCAATTCAGAGAAATCACAGCAGGGTATCCTTGGTTTGTTGGTGACTTAACTCACCTGGGCTATCTTGGCGATACTGTATTCATCTGAAGGAATCCACCCCTTGGTCCCATCTTCCACAATGACTGGGAGGTCCCTCTTCAGATACATGTCCAGTATATCATCCTGACTCAAACTCCGCACTCTTTCAATGCCAGTCAGACTCTCGCACAACTGCCAATAGAACAAGAAAACATGTATCAATATTTACTACCCACAACTGTATGTCACTAGGTCCTCAGGATATGTACTGACAAAACACTGTTAGGAGGTCATGACTTCTTTAGGGAATATTTTCCAAATTGTGTGTTAGATACTTGAATTTTTCTAAATATATATCCCCCAAAATATTCACAATCCCAAACACTATTTGGGGATAGAGTTTTTCCAGGAAATTCCATGGTTTATGGTATGAATGTTTTCTATACATTGTGAGCAATATAACTCTACAAAGCAATCCTTACTTCACAGTCCTCTGTGGTGAGCTGGCCTCCAGAGTAGTAAGGGTTCTCCACAAGACAGGATGAGTGGTAGATCTTGGTCCAGTCCCATACTGGCAGCACCTGGAGGACATTAGAGTGAGTGAGTGAGTGAGTGAGTGAGTGATTGAGTGAGTGAGTGAGTGAGTGAGTGAGTGAGTGAGTGAGTGAGTGAGTGAGTGAGTGAGTGAGTGAGGAGTGAGTGAGTGAGTGAGTGAGTGAGTGAGTGAGTGAGTGAGTGAGTGAGTGAGTGAGTGAGTGAGTGAGTGAGTGAGGTCAGTGAGTGAGTGAGTGAGTAATAAAATGTATAATGTGCAGCTCGATTATTGTGCACCCCACTCTAAGGCATTCAGTGTTTTATGACAAAAGACTACGAGTATTATGCACAGAAGAAAAATTAAATCATGACCCTTCACAGTCAGTTGATTGGTTGGTTGGTTGGTAGGATGGTTCATAGGCACTCAGCAGTATTTCAGCTATACGCAGCGGTCTTTAATGTCCCTTTACAGAATTCAGGTAAATGAACATGTGCTAATATACTTTGTCCATACATAAATTGAAATTTGGAAAAAATGTCACTATTAATGGATTTTCAATGAATAAATTGATCAAATCAGATCTACAGCAACAGTAGGGACCGTAATAGTTTGTGTTATTGATTTTAGCTTACTTAATATTGATATCTGCATTCATACTATCATATGTTAACCTTGTTTGTATTCAGCTCTCACCAATCTAACCTAACAGATGTGCTTCATAAAACATGAACATTGTTCAATATTCAGCTATTCTTCATATTCTCGAAAGTATTATTACATATTGTATTGACACAATGTACAGCGAGGCGCACTGATTTGTTGCTGTACCGTCCATAAATGCATCCATTTAACACATTTGACGTGTTCTTCTTAAACTGCTGTGTGTCTTTCATATAAACGACCTTGAAAGTCATGATAAGTCTTTTTTCTTCATGATCACGGAATGTTCAATCCCATACTTAACATTGAGTGAGTGAGTGAGTGAGTGAGTGAGTGAGTGAGTGAGTGAGTCGGAGGGTTGGGTTAAGACCAGTTTGAACAGTATTCCATCTCTAACACAGCCTGTCAGCTTAATATGTCAGGAAAGCCAAAAGTGAAACAATTCTCAGATGTTTACCACACTAAGCTGTGAGTGTAAACCACTCTACTTCCCAACTTTAATCATTCTTTTGCTTAGGTGATTGTCTGCCAAATTTCGCACATTCAGTAAATATTAAGTGAGTGAGTGAGTATGGTTTTACGCCACTTTTAGCAATATTCCAGCAATATCACGGCTGGGGACACCAGAAATGGGCTTCACACATTGTACCCATGTGGGGAATCAAACCCGGGCCTTCGGGGTGACGAGCGAAAGCTTTAACCACTAGGCTACCCCACTGCCCCAGTAAATATTAAGAAATATCAATCTCCTATAGTGCAATCTGTACGATAAATGTTGTGAATATTCAGTTCTTGTCAATCGAACACAGGTCTTCGGACGTGACAAGAGAATGCTTTAAGTTTAACCAGCAGGCTACCCCACTGCCCCACACCCCTATGAGCCCCAATACCCTAGTACTGCTATATTGGTCAACCCCTGAGCGATAGTACAAACATAACCAAGTGTAAGACAGCTGAAAGCATTTGTTGTGCATATCAATGCGTACACAGCTGGCAATGCTCAGTTACCTTACTCACAGATCAATAGCCATTGTATCACTATTGTTATACTCACTGGTATGAATATATAATTTAGTGCAGAGAGAAAATGAAACATGAGGTTTACAGCCGTGATGTATTTCTATAGATTGTACATTCTATGATGCCTGAGTGGAAAATGGTTTAATCAACATGTCTGCAGGATTACAAATGAAAGATTTTATATTTTATATAGGTCTTCTGGTTCCAACAGAAGCCAAATTGTAATTCATTTTATCATGAACAAACCTAAATAGACATCACTCCCTGGTTATCCATATGCAGAAACACCAGCCAGCTCAGGATGCACCAGAGACATTTAGTATTTCTGGATTGCAGGCTTTTTAGAAGACAGAAGCATGAAATAGATCAAAACAGTCTTTCTCGCCTCAAATCCCCAGAGGAAACATTAATTGATATCAGTTACAAAAATTATAACGATCTGACTTGTAACTATATGGCTGAAAAATGCCATTGTAATGTTAAATGTTAACTCAATCGCTCACTAATGATCTGAACACAATATGGTGTCATCGAAATGGGAGAAAAACTTCCCAAAGTGCAGCACCACCAGTATGACAGTTGGAGAAAAGATATTCACATGTCCAGATATACTTACTGGAAAATATATAACAATCACATTATACTTTGAGCAAATTTTACCCAGCAAATGGCCAAATACAGGTTTTCAGGCACCTTGAACAAATACAAGTGTCATTAGTGGTTGGTATAAGCATGTGTAAAACATTCCGGTGATTTCTGTGGATATAGGTTTGCATTGTGACCACATACAGTTTTGTGAATTTGAGAACTCCGACCACTTAAAAAGTATATAAAGGTAAAATTTAGCATTGCTGCAAAAAGGGAACACTTATGTTGAGCTCCACTAACAACAGATATATTACATTCCATTACCTAAAACAACGACTGAAAATTGCCATAAATAGGTTTTTCAGGATTCTACCACAAGTGTTTGCTGCAATGACAAATAAAACCTAGGAATCTAAATATGCTCCCTATATGTATTTGCCATCTGGATCCCAGCATGATATTCAAACTCACAAGACAGGGCAATCAATACAAAGAATTATTTCCAACCATAAACATGAAGAATATTCCAATAAAACTGTCCTATAAAATCTTAAACACAGGCTAAACATATGTCACCTTGTCAAACTCATGGACATATCTATCCCCAGGAAACACAGGTACCTGCGAGATTAAACGTTTGCATGGAAAAATAATGCAGATTGTTTCAACATAGACCGAAGACGTCTGCTTATGTCACAAAAGTATTATACATAGATAAAAAAGATAAAAAGTAATGTTTGTCAAGTGATTCACTCGAAACTCATTTCTATATTTAGGTGTGATTTTTGGAATACAGTCGAACCCCGTTTATCCGGACATTTTGGTTACACTCGGAAATCGTCCGGATAGCGAGGCGTCAGGTTAACTGGATCAAACAAGCAAAACGCACTGACAATGTATATTCGTAGAAGGTCAACAGCGTAACAACTGCTTGTTGTTCATAGTCAATTGACTGGTCGTCTGTTGGTGGCTGCATTCTGTTGATGATTTCTTCATCAGTTAGCTCCACGACGGTGTCTTCATCATTGACTGTTCAGCAGTTGGGACTCCGTCGCCGTCACTTCGTGGTAACTGCTGCATCAAATATTCCGCAGCTCAGCTTAATCCTAATCCTAATTAACATGTGTTTTCGTTACTGATGAGATGTTCTCACACCTGTCACAACTGAAGGGACATGCATCCCTAGTGTTTTGATGGGTAAGTAATCAATTCACATCAAACGAGAGATTAACAATGAATACAATTAGTCGTCCGGGGTAAACAATACTGAAGTGAAACATACATGTACACATTGCACATGTGCCCAGATCTTTCCGTCCGGATAACTGGATAATTTTTTAATGGAAATCTATGGGAATGGTTTGAAACTTCTCCGGTCCAGAAGCATAGGGTCCGGCTTAGACTAACAACTAGTCTCTGAAATTAACATATTTTACTGAAAAAAGTTCATAGTAAAAAAATAAAAATAAAGGAGCCCTGAGACTTTCTTCATTTTCAGATGAAGCTGAGGAAATCTAGACTTGCCACATTTTCTAGACTTGCGTGGGCTTTCTTGGATATATTTGCTTCAGGGTCTGTACGACAGACTAGGTCCGGCTTAGCGAGTACAATTAATGAAGGCAAGTTTCGTTTCACCTAAAAATCGTCAGGAAGGCGAGGTTTCCGGATATACGGGGTCCGAGTAAACAGGGTTCGACTGTACATGCACAAACAATAAGTTGATAATGAGCCTATAACACTAACCAAAGAATACTTTTTACGCCGCTTTTAGCAACATTCCAGCAACATCATGGCAGGGGACACCAGAAATGGGTTTCACATATTGTACCCATGTGGGAATTGAACCCGGGCCTTTGGTGCGATGAGCGAACTCTTTAATCACCACACTACCCCACTGTCCTCTTTGCACTGAAGGGGCGATGGGGTAGCCTAGTGGTTAAAGCGTTGTCTCGTCACGCCGAAGACCAGAGTTCGAATTCCCACATGGGCACAATGTGTGAAACCCATTTCTGGTGTCCCCCGCCGTGATGTTGCTGGAATATTGCTAAAAGCAGCGTAAAAACAAACTAAGTCAGTCAGTCTTTGCACTGAGAATAGAAATAGGTTACTTGAAATGGTGAAATTCTGTCTAGTCTCCATCTATCTAAACCAGAGCAGCAGAGGTTTAAGTACAGAAGCTCACCTTTGTTAATAATAAACTTTGTGTGATGAGGAAGAGCTAAATCCACCTAAAAGATGGCTCACAACAGGGTAAACACTTGGATCTTATACACTGAGTATATATATGTTTCAAGTTCACTTAACCTTTTTGTAAAATACCATCTTTGTAAGGTAGTATAATTGAAAATGTTAAACATGAAGGCTGATATCTGTGAAAAGTTGTTTCTAGGTAATGTTTAAAAGACGTTACAAGCATTTTTTAATATTTATGGGTTTTTTTTATGGTATCAGTCATTTTGACATTCAATAGTGCTGAAAAGAGAAAATGCTTAGAAATATACTTCAACTAACAATAATTCATTAACAAATGTTGTCAAAAACATGCGACCCGAAATTTCAAAACACAAGAAATATTTTAAGAATGTTTAAAAAGTAACTGTTAATGAGAGGAAAACTGCATAATTTGTTATCATTAGCAATTTCTTAGAGCAACTAAAATAATTCTTAAGAGAAATATACTTCTCAAAAGAAGTTAGGGAGCACCCATTTCTCCCATATTAAATCTGTTCTGCCATGACAGATTAACAGCCATATACCATTGTCTATATTTTGGGTACC